ATTGACAAAACATGCATTATGAACCATTGAAAAAGATTATGAATATACCCTAAAGAAGTTCTTTTCATATATGAATGAAATAGAGTGCAACTTCTTCTATATATGGTCCTAAAGCATATCATCAGTAATTTTCAAGACAATAATGGAAGGTTCAATCTTGAATATATTTTTATCTTTAGTTCCTTGGAAACTGTAGAAAATATATTTTGGCATCTCTTTAGTATACCATGACGATTTGAGCTTATGATAGACATGGCCCATATCACCTATCACATGCATTTGCTTTTAAAGTTCACAAGAAAAATCCAATCAAAATATTACAAATATTTTGTAATTTGTAATTATAAATAATTTATAGATGTTTTCAGCTTTAGGATCATCAATGATGAACATAATGTTTATAGTGTTTGTGGGGCAAGAGAAGAAGGTGTTGTGATACATGTCACATATAATATGTTAACCAATATTGATGCTCAACTTTTTGCAATGGAAACTCACTATGTCACTTGGATCTTATAATTCCCTTTAAGGAATTTGATAGTTTCCTCTAATGAAACACATATTTATAATTACTTCCTCGATTCTTCTTTTAAAATGGAATATAATATTTGTTGTTTTGATACTATTCCTATTTAGTTTTCAATGTAACAAAATTATAATAATCAAAACAGTGTTTGCTAACTAGAATAGCTAGTATTTGAATAAATTTAACAATTATGTAATCCAGGTATATTCCTGATTCATTAATAATAATAGTACATTATTAACATAGCTAAATCAGAGATTATAGAGCATAACAAGTAAGGTATGTAGCAAAATTAATAAAAATATTACTTCTCACTAATATAAACCATGTTTACCATTTATAAATTTTAAGGTAGTTAGAGTTTTAGCTCCTCTTTCAACCATGATGGAGAAATGTGATAGGAAAATCAAGACTTTAGCCTCTATTTTCTAGTTCCTTGTTTGATGCTTACAATATGGTCATTGGAGAGCACCCTTTACACACATAGTTTTTGGGTAAAGAATCAAAACAATTTAGTCAACTAGGCAATGATGGGTAAAAATATTATGTGATTTCTTGATCAATAGGAACTATATAATATTTCTAGTCATTAGTGCATGTCTAGAGCTTCTACCATGAAAGCACTTGCATCTATTAGCATTATATAAAGCTTGGCTTCACTATAATGGATGTGGTTACCTTAAACTTCATTATCACAATGTATATAAGAGATTGCCATACAAAATCAATCATGCTTCACCATTTATTGAGCAGCTAAAACTCACAGAATTCCCCAAGAAGATCTCCATGATACTAGTGTTCCAACACCCTCCAAACCAATATAGTCTAACTCATGAGCTGAAGATTAATGTATTAAAGAATCTGTTAAATACCACTTTTAAGAAAATTGATTTATAGGACATTCCTTTATATTTTAAAATATATTTTAATTTATAAATTCCTAAATAGCATATATTTAAAATAAAACTTTTTACTTTACTATTATTTTACAACAGATTTAGGTTTATGCTATTATATATATCTTTATTATGAAAGTCTTATAGGAATATTTATTAGTCAAACCAATGCTATTGTATTAAAAATCGTTTTAAAAAAACAAAATATTATGTTGCTACATAGTGCAACAAATTTATTTTAGTAATTTTTACTTTCGTTCACAGAGCTGAAAGACTAAATATATACACTTAGATATTTATCTTATTTATTTACATACAGCTTCCTCATCATGTATGACACTTTTGGCTACAAAATATGACCACCTTTTAAAGAAGATAATTATAAATTCTAGGTTTTTTTGCATATCAATTTGAAAAATAGAATCAATAAGGTTTGTGAATTTGACCCTTTAAAATTTATCTCATTGTCAGAATTGTTAATTTTGATAATGATAAATCACTTTTTATCTCACTTCTATTTTTTAATTATAATAAATAAATAAATAAATAAATATATAATGATGATTTATCTTAGGTTTATTTTTTTCATAGTAAAAATAGCCTAAAAATCTTTATCCACAATTTTTAGGTTAGATATATTTATATAATACAGAACGCATATAATGTCTTTCTATAATTAAGGAGGAGTTGCCAGACTGTCAGGGTTATTTTGTTAATGATGTCTTAGTTAATAATTGTGTTATAGCCAATGTGAGGTTGCTAATTGCTTAGACACATGTATTCAATGTGTTGACTGGCATTGGCACTCAACCTTTTGCACTCCAATCTCTACTATCAAGTTTCATGCTATAGTGGAGACTTGCTATGCCATTTGAGAGTGGTGATTCACACTGCTCCTTCTTCTGTAGGGTTCTAGCACTGGAATGGGAGGAATGGCACTCACTCACACATGATTTCTCTGCATGGAATGCCAAATATTAAACACCAAGTTTGCAGCCCTTTGATGTTCTTAGTGCCATGATTCTTAGCTCCCCAAGCTCTTTATTGCCACCAGCATGCTCCCATGGGATTCCAGGGCATTCTCTATTGGCATGCAGCAGCATCATGGATGAAGGAGTGCCAAGATCAATGCACTAATATCTATGCTCAAGAAAATTAATGGTGTCAAGTTGATCAAGTCGATGGTGTCTCCCAGTTCCCCATGATGCTTAAGCTCATTGAGGGGCCACTCCAAAAGGCAGGTTTCAAGTTCAAGGTTGGCATGAGTAACAGCAAGACACTGTGTTTTTCTCAGCCTGAAGATCATTGGAGTTCTATGGCATCCACAACATTTTTGTGATGGATCCTATGGTTTAAGTGTAATTAAGGTAAATTCCAAGGCTTATGTTTCTTCAAACTCAGTCAGATAATTTGATTTTTCATGTATACAATCCCAAGCCCCAAAAAAAGTGATAATGAAATGTTCTTAGGTCCTAGTGAAAGTCCTAGTCCCAATGCAGTACTTCATCTATTCTAAATTAGCCTATTGGCTGCTTTAGCATATACTGGAATCCCATCAACTGGATTTCCTTTGTTTTTTAAACCTTTTTTTGTGGCTAAATCTAGACATTTATAGGCACACTTCCAACTAAGTGTCCTGTTGCATTGTAGGAAATAATAGATTTTATTATGTTTTATTTTATGTGTTTGTAATGAGATTTTGTAGCTATATAAACCCTGGCTTCTGGAATCTAATATTGTTTCCTCTAAGAAAACACATGCTTACAATTACTTCCTCAATTCTTATTTAGATCTTGTTAAAGTGGAATATAACAATTAATTGATACTATTCCAACCTAGTTTTCAATATAACAAAACTAGCTTGTTAATTATATGCATAGCAATTGGTAGTAATTGAAAAAATTGAAGATTTTGTGCATCAAATAGGCTATAGCTATCTATCACAATAAGGAGGAGTTGCCAAACTTTCTGGGCCGCTGGATCCAACCAATCACAGCTGTCCAATGGGGGTAATTGTAAAGGGGTTATTTCTTTAACCATGTGTTAGCGAATAATCATGCTGATGGTTGCTCTCGGCCAATGGGAGGTAGCCAAGCTGCATGGGGCGCAAGAAGAAGGCACTGCAGCACATAGCACTTCTAGAACCCTTCTTTTTAACACTGATGTATTTCTCGAGAGAGCTAGGTAGGGTATATTGTTATTTTTCATTTTTCTTTCATAACTGTCAGGAAATAGGACAAGTTGATTTTAGCTATATTTATAAAGTTCTCAAGAGCATTCCAATTGACATCTGCTAGATGAGGGAGATCGGTTTGTCACAATATTCAAAAGACTATGGTATTGATTTGGCAAATTTTTCTCTTTGCAAAAGGAAAGCACCAAGAGAAGTTCAGGAACTTTTGTGTCTTGGTGAGTTAGCTTTTTTCTTTCAGTATTACCACTGGCTTCCTCAAAAATGATCCAGCTTCCAGGTTACCATGAAAACGTAGTGTGTTACTTCTCCTCATGGTTCAAAAATGACTTTTTGTATATCCAAATGGAGTTGTGCGAGATGAATCTATGAGACGAGAGCCTTGTATACACATTCACGAAGAAGAAGCTAATTGAGGCAATGTTTCAAATAAACAGCTCAATTGTGTTTTTTTCTTAGTTTATCATGCATGGCAGCTCTTAAACACTTTGAAGCACTTACACTCGCATCCTCACTCACCTAGATGTGAAGCTTGACAACATTTATATCCGGAATTGCATCTACAAAATTGGCGACTTTGGCCTTGCCAATCAAATTGATGGAACCATTTCCATCGAGGATGGAGACTCGAGATATCGCCCGATGGAGCTCATCAACAATAATCACAACCATTTGATAAGAATTGATTTTTATGTTTATCTAACATTTGTTAGGCATAATTCCCTCAATTCTTCTTTCAAAGTGGAATACAATATTTGTTTTTTTATACTATTCCAATTTTAGTTTTTAATATAACAAAATTATAACAATCAAAACAATATTTTGCTAACTGGGCAGCATATGCTGGGCAAGTGCTAATAATATTTATAAAAGTAAGGTTTAAGTTGATCTAAAATTAAATTTAACCAGGTTTAGTATAGTTTAAAGTTTGCAAATTAATTAATTAAATTAAACTCACTTTTTTTAGTAAGAGTAAAACATATTTGCTGATACTCATCACAGAGCTTCACATTTTGCTATAAATAAAGAAGTTCTTTTCCTTAAACAATTATGTGTAGATTCATTGCCTTGCTGGTCTATATGCTAGAATTATTTTGCCCAGAGGGCTAGACTACACTTTGCTTGAACGCACTGGGAGTTGCTATTCCTTGCTTGCTTGTGACCGTATGCCAGCTATTGGTCATGGAGGTGAAGCTGTTGGTTTCTCATTTTCCTTTTAGCTTGTGTCCAGCGTTGAGGATAAAATTCTCTTTCAAATTGCTTTACTTTTGTTTCGCATTGTTTCTCTTGCATATTTGTTTGATCCAGTGCGCTTGTCCTTGGCATTACCTACGTTGACAATACACCACAAACGAATGGCTGATGGCTGAAGCGCTTGGGACTTGGATTTCAGACTGGAATGGAGTGATTTGCATTCTTTTCGACTGATTTCTTTATCATTTTTGTATTTTCGTCATTTTGCTTCGAACTCAGGTGTATCATCAACATGAGAAACTAGCTTTTCGAAAATGATACTTCCAAAAATCTTCATATTCGATACTTAGTTAGAGATCTGTAATCAATCTGAGCCGGTATTTCTTATCATTTATACCAGCCTGCCATTAAAAATCTCAAGAGGAAACAAAATCCAGAACACAGTCCCTGAATGAAACATATAAGACTAATTGCCTTGGATCACATGACAAGAGAAATTCACCTGGAAAATCAGCAGCCGGATACACAGTTGCCGCTCAGTGCATCTTCCAAACCATCTCAAGAACAAGTTAACCAGATTCATATCCTTACTGCCGGTTAAAAGCCCCGTTTTCGGCTCAAAGCTACATCACAAAAGGTCTACAAGTTAGCGAAAGACAAAGCTGAGGTCTTTACCTTGGTAATCGATGTCTCGGACATGGCACCCATTTGAAGAGCTGCGAGGCAAGTTACTTAGCACAAAAACAGAAAGATTGTATGGCTGACTTACCTGTGGAATGGAGTAAACAAAGTTAATAATCTGTGGTAAGAAGAAAAGCAAAAGCGTCTCGCTAAAATGGCCGAGGATGCCCGCGACAGCCATTGTCATCCCGGCAAAATACGTGTAAGTGTCTCCAACAAAGACCGATGATGGATACCTGTGGAAGAGAGAACTGCAGTCTTAAAACTTAAAGAGATCTCAAAATGTTTACCAGTTATAACAAAGCAGCCCAAGCGACGCTCCAACGAGTGGTTGTGTGAGATAAATTGAGAAGGCGTGTGCTTGCTGGTAATCAGCGTCTGAGCTACTCACGATTTGCATCATGTTGTGAATCAAAATCTGTAAAACATCATGTTCTGGTCACAGAAAAAGAACAAAGAAAAGAAAGAACAATGCGCATACCGCAGAAGATATCACAAGAGTTTGTCCAACTTCCAGTCCATTCACGCCGGCGAGAATGTTGACAGCGTTGGTACAAAACACGGCTAACAGGCCCATGTAAACTTTGTATAACACACCTAACAAGTTTACAAGCTGTTCAAGAAGAAATCGAACCAAAAGAAAAGAAGAAAAATCTTACCCAAGTCGAGCACCTCCATTTCGAGGTAGGCTCGAAGAGGTTTCGGAATAACAATTGTCGTGTGCCCCGCGTATGCCATCAGTAGGGGAAGAGCAGCGAACGAAGGAAGTAAAAGTTTCCTGAGAGCAAAAGAAACACTCGATTTTTTGTCGCGAGAAGGAGATCATGAAACTTACACGCGCCATGGGATGTCGAGGACGTCGTCCACAAAGCCGAGAAGAATCATAAATAGTATAGATGTGAGTGCCGCATTGTACTCCAGCAGCCACTACGCACAAAAGGAAAAAGAGAGAAAAGATCAACAAACCATCTCCAAAAACTTAGAAACTTACAGCGGAGTCTGGGCTGAAACAAAAAATCTGGAAGAGGATCGTGACGACGACGAACACGAACCCAGTAACAATCCCGAGCGACTCGGGCCTGCGAGGAGATCCATTTCATTCGCAATAGATTCTTTTTTTCCAAAAACTTACACTTGGATTGATCCAGCCGGAGAGCCTTTCTTGTTGATGTCGTATCCAAACATGTTCCTTTTCAGTACGTAGCGCGCGACGACTGGAACGAGCCGGATTACTGCGAAGAAGGCGCCGACGCTCATACAGAAGCTGATCGCGATCGATCGGCAGAGCTCCGCATCCAGATCGCGCGCGTGACGAGCAAAGAGCGCGATGTAGGCGGCGAGGCATACCGATCCAAAGATCAATGTTGCTGTGTACCTTGGCGTGGGAGGAGATGCCGCTGGAGCCGCCAATCCCTTGTCATTGGCGGAAGCTGGGAAGCCCCGCCGTCTCCTCACATCCGCCATAGCCACCTAGAACCCTAAATATTTCCCTCAGAGAAAAATCACATTTCATGGGCGATCGAGCAGGGAAGAACAACATGTCTGTCAAGGGCGACTAGATTTCGTGGGCGATCGAGCTGGGCAAGCGTTTGCTAGGAGCACAAAGAAAGGAGAGGATGTTTCCACGAGGAGCTTCGCATGATCACGCTCGGATCGATGCTCCAAGCTCCTATACGAGGAGGCGAGCAAGCACTTCCAATCTAGCGCGTCCGGCACGAATGGCATCGCCGCGATGAGCTCCCATGCCTCGTCCAATCGGCCCAGGCGCCCACAGAGATCTAGCACGCAGCAGTAGTGCTGCTTGGTAGGATTTAGGCCGAAATCCATTCGCATCGACACGAAGCTCCTCCTCGCGGCCTCGAGCTTCCCGGCGTGGCTGCAAGCGAGGAGCACCGACACAAAGCAGGATTCGTCGGGAGAGTGCGTGAGATTCATCGTGTTTAAGACACGAAGCGTTTCGCCGTGGAGCAGGCAGCGCGATTGAGCGTACGCGGCAAGGATCGAGCTCCATGAAACGATATCTTTCTCGTCCATCGCTTCGAAGATCTTCCCACACTTCGCAATTTGCCCTTCTTTGGCATATGCTGCGAGCAAAGTGTTCCAGCTTACTTGATCTTTGATATCCATCTTATCAAACAACAATTGCACTTCATTCATACATGCGTGATACGAAAAAGATGCGAGCATCGCATTGCATGAAACCACACTCCAAAAAGGAATCTTTACAAAGATGTTCTTTGATTCCCGCAAATGCCCATTTTGGGCATATGCGAAAAGCATTGATGTCATGGACACGACGTCGTGCTCCGGAATCTTTTCAAACAAACACGTAGCATCTTCGATTTTACCGCATTTTCCATAGCCCACAAGCATTACGGTAAAGGTGATGGCGTCCCATCTCGCCATCTGATCAAACAAAACCCTCGCTTTTCCGACTTCCCTGCTTTCGGCATATGCTTGAATCATGACATTTGATGCCTCGATTCCCCACACTGGCATCTCCAGGAAACAAAACTCGGCCTCGAATATTCTACCACAGTTTACGTAAGCCCACAGCATGGCCACCCACGACACCGTATCACGCTCCTCCATTACCATAAAAACATCCACGGCGTTTTCCAAATGCCCGGTCCGGGCAAAAGCGACGATTGTAGCCGTTGATGAAACCACATTCTGTTCCGGAATCCTCTCGCATATTTGCAACGCCTCTTCCCTCAAGGAATGGTGAGTGTACGCAACCAGCATGACATTCCACGCCGCAAGATTCCGCTCCGGAATCTCCTCAAAGAGTGACTGCGCTATGGAAATATGCCCGTCCCGGGTATATGCGGAGAGCATAACAGCCCAAGAAATAGCGTCGTGCTCCGGCATCGTATCAAAGAAAGAACGCGCTTGGTTTGATCTGGAGTAACAATTTAGCATCGTATTCCATGAGATGAGGTCCCTACATGGCATTTGGGCGAAGAGAAGCTCGGCTTGGGCTAAATCTTTCACTTGGGCGAGTGCTACATTGAAATTTCTTAAAGCCATCTTAGGTCAAAGTTGGATTAGTGGTGTTATTTAGGGTTCCTTTTTTTATTAAAGTCATCTCAATTCAAAATGAGCTTTATGCAAATTATTAGCATCTCTAAGTCGCTTTGGCCGAGTGGTTAAGGCGTGTGCCTGCTAAGTACATGGGTTCTGCCCGCGAGAGTTCGAATCTCTCAGGCGACGAGATTTCTTTAGGGTTCTTTTGTTGGAAAAACTTTGGAAACAACCGTCGATAGCCTTCCATCTCTTGCTGGAGCTGGAAACTCGAGAGAAAATCGCTGGTGTCGAGAGTGTCGACCAGTCGGGTCATCTGCTCTTCGTGGAGCGCATTGGCGTCTTCCATCTGGAGCTGGACACCAAGAGTTTGCGAGACAAAAAGAAACTATCGATCAATCCCTCAAGAACAAGAAAGGACGTACCCGATCGAGCAAAGTCTCCTCGATGAAGTGCTGGTAGTGCAAATTCCTGAGCTTGGACAAATTCTCGGCCTCGCGGCTGTAGGAATCGATGATCCTGGGCAGCGTCTTGGATGGGGACCCGGAGGAGGAAGAGAGGCGATCGATCTCGGCTGTGCCGGCGCGCCGGATCGCCACTGGCCGTGGAACAGCGCCCAGGAGGAAGATGGTTTTGGTGGCGGTCTGGACCGCATTCTCGGCATTCTCTTCGCTCGCCATCTCCACAGCCGCCCATCCCATGGACTGGTGCCCGGGCTGGAGGGGATTGCGAGCCAGCTCCACGCGATTGATGGTGCCCAGCTGCGATAGTCCCTGCCGCACCGCTGCTTTGCCCGTGAATGGCGAGAGGTTCTCCACGATCACGGTGCGGCGGAGAAGATCCGGAAGAAATGCATAATACAGCACCCCTCACTCTTACGTGGTTGCCCCTTTGCCACGCTCACTCCTCGCGTCCTCCGTGGCAGCACGCCTCACTCTTACGTGGTTGCCCCTTTGCCACGCTCACTCCTCGCGTCCTCCGTGGCGTGTTTAGTCACGCCCAGCTCTGCACCCTAAATGTTTAAGAGAACCCATTGCCGCGATCATTAGGTTCCATTAAACTATGTCTTTGAAAGGGATTCTCTTAAACATCACGATTGCATCGTTAAACTCCACAATTGCACCTAGGAGGCTGTTCCACAAGCAGCAGTCCCACTCGGGCATCTCAAAGATTTATCTCTTTAATTTATAATAATGAGGTGGCATGCGCAAGTAAGCAATGAGGTGGCATGCAAATCCAAATAAACAAATGGGGCCCACCCTAAATAAGGGGGGGGTGCTGTATTATGCATTCTACCCGAAGATCCTGGCTCCGGGAGGGCGCCGCGACCTGATCTGGTCGCAAGAAGCATCGCTTGAGGTCGTTCTGGCCCTTTCTCGGACGAGAGCGCTTGCAATCTCGGATCTTTCCCTCTCGACGTCGCGGAGGCGCTGTCGCTGGCTCGATCTTTCCTCGTCGCGACGAAAGATGAGCTTCGCGATCGGGATTACGTACCAGCGATTGATCCAGCTCGCGAAGGGAGCGATATTTCGGTGGAGCCGACGCTGGCGAGCGCTTGCGATCTCGAAATCCCTCTGGAATCGGCGCCGGCGGCGCTGCTAGAGAAGCTGTCGATGGATCGACAAGGAAAGACGATTCCCCGGGAACAGGCGGCGGTGGATCAGCGGGAAGAGGAGGAGGCGACTCTTCGCTGGAGAGAGGAAGATCGAGGCAGCCGTTCTCCATAGCCACAAAGAACGAAGCTTGTCGAAATCCCTCTGGAATCGGCGCCGGCGGCGCTGCTAGAGAAGCTGTCGATGGATAGACAAGGAAAGACGATTCCCCGGGAAGCGGCGGCGGTGGATCAGCGGGAAGAGGAGGAGGCGATTCTTCGCCGGAGAGAGGAAGATCGAGGCAGCCGCCCTCCATAGCCGAAGCTTGAACGGGGTAGAATATCCCTCCCATGGAGCGTTTGAAAACAAATACGCTGTGGGGTTTATTCTAGGGTTTTCTCTCTGGATGCTGGCTCGGCCATGGCAGATCGGAAGACCTAGGATCGAATGCTTGGCGAGGGGAATGGCGCAGCAGTCGCGATCGCCATTGGCATTGGCGGCAGCGAGCCTTGGGGCCGAGGAATGGGATCTCACAACGGAGGAGATGGATTCCATGGAGAGGAATGCCGCGCAGGAGCTGGCTGCCCGGCGCCTGGATTCACCGCTCAAATCGCATCCGGAGCTCCTGGCTCGAGCGGTGGAGGGGAGGACATCGCAGCAAAGCCCCTCTCCCCCCGTCTCGCCTTTCTCGAAGCGGCCTTTGCGTCTCAAGCTCTCCAAGGATGGGCACAACATCGCAGTGGAGGCTCCCTATAACGCGGTGAGTTTTTCCGATCACACCAACGCGAGAATGGGAAGAACATCACAACTTTTTCGTGTTAATGCAGGGTCTCATAGCGGCCTATAAATCGGTTGCTGGCCATGAGTGGGATCCCGGTCGAAGGCAAGCTTTTTCTTTCCATGTTTCATAATTTTTCTCTCGAGTGTTGGCAGGCTTTGGCTGTTTCCCGAGCACAATGTCCAAGAACTTATGAGGGCTGTGACTGGCACTCCCGACCTTGTGCTCGACGTATAACTTTCTTCTCCTTCTTTTAACGAACATTAAGTTTTCCTTCTTTCTCTTTTGTAGGTACAAGCAGTTCCTCCTCTCAAGCTACCTCATCTTAATTATGGCTGGAATCCGCCTTCGTGCTCGGGTACATATCAAATGCCTTTACGTTGTAGTATTAATCTCGTCAATCTAGGACACGGATCTTCTCCGTTATGTACTCCGACAAAGTCTCAGGATAGCCGAAGTGGCATGGCTGAAAACGCTGGTTCTCCTCTCAAAGAGCTAGTGGTACAGATTTTCTTGATAGATGACAACCGTATCGCGGCTCGAAGTCCCTATAATCAGGTCCTATTCTAAGAACTTTAAGAAGTTTGACTGGCTCTTGATTTTCTTTACCAGAATGTTAAGCAAGCTTGCCAGTCTGTTACTGGAAAGCTTTGGAATAACGAAGAAAGGTAAGAATTGTCCTAAGAGCTGTTGAATTTTTCAACTGTTTGTTGTCTCTTTCAGAGTATGGACTTACCCGAGATCTAGCTTGATTGATCTGGTGCATGCGCTGCGGAGTGTCTCGTGTCCACGGGTTAACGTATGAGTTATTGCTTGCTTGATATTAGCTGACATCATCCGTAACAGGTCGAAGTTACGCCTCCGTTAATTCTTCCTCCTGATCAGAGCCTTGGTGAGCCTTTAATTTTGTTTTCCTTTTTTCTTGGTTTTTACGGGCGCAACCACAGGTTCAGTTTTTCCTTGCAATTGGAATAGAGGTGAGAGCGAAGTTTACTCTTTTGCTGTCCCCGAGAAACTGCCGCCTACATCTGATAACTTATCTAAGCAATTTGTGAAGTTGTTTCTTCATAGCACTGGCCTTATTGCTGTCAAATGCGAACCATCTCAGGTACAGCTTTTTTTCAGACATATTCTGTGATGTTTTCCATCCATTTACAGAAACTGATATCGGTTTTGAAGTCCATCTCAAAAGCATTTTGGAACTACAGAGAACGGTGGGATGAACGTATTCATATTTTCTTATTGTTATTTATGCTTTCAGGCTGTGGATGTTTCCCCCTTGTTCTTTGTCCGATGCAGAAAAAGCTTTTGCAGAAGTACCTTGTGAAGTAAGGTCGAATAACAGTTGGATATATTAGCTACTCGTTTTTACAGATAGAAGCTTTTGGACCATTAGTGCGGCGTGCTTTAGATTTTCAGCGAGATGTTTCTGATCTTATTGGTAAACCCTTCAGAGATGTTCTGAAACTGATGGTTTTTCTATGTCTTACAGGTTATTATAAGAACATTCCTGGCCACCTAGAATCAAGCCTTATGCCCTTTCAGCAGGAGGGAGTGCAGTTCGCGTTGCACCATGGCGGACGAGCTTTGATTGCCGACGAAATGGGGCTTGGGAAAAGTGTTCAGGTATGTATGTAAACAACGGTAACAGCTTTTGAACGACATTTTTGTCCAGGCAATAGCTGTAGTGTCTTGCTTGAGGGACTACTGGCCGGTTTTGGTGATTGTTCCGTCGTCATTGCGGATACACTGGGCTACTGTTAAGTTTTCTTAATGTTACAAGAAAGTTTTGTTTTTCTTACCCCTTTTTATTTTCTTTTTCTTGCTATGTTTCTTTTTGCTGCAGATGCTTAAAACGTGGCTGGAAATTCGTTCTTGCGACATAACGGTATGTTTTTTTTTCAATCGTTCTATCCGTAGACGGTTCCATATTTCATGCGAGATAGATCGTTTTGAGTCAAGGGACCGGATCAAGTCAGGGATACACTATCGCGCACTCTCAAGGGAAAAAAGTGCTGCAGCTGGGTGGATTATTTAATATCATTTCGTATGACATGGTGTCAAAATTGCCTGTGGATAACAACTTCAAGGTGGGATGAATATGCATTATTATCATTTTCTTTTTCCCTCCTAGGTTGTTATTGCAGACGAGTCTCACTACATAAAAAACGCTCAAGCCAAGCGTACCAACGCCTGTGTTCCTATTATCCAAGTACGTAAGTTTCTCATCTTCTTTCGCTGAGAGTATCGCTTGCCAGAAAGCGAAGTATGCAGTGCTTTTGACAGGCACTCCTGCTCTGTCTAGGCCAGTCGAGCTATTTAAGCAGGTTTGACTTCACATAGTTTTACGTCATGAAAATTCAGGAGTGCAAACTAACAGCTAGAGGCGCTTCAACCAAGTGTTTATAGTGACTTTCACGAGTACGGGCAGCGATACTGCAGCGGGGTAACGAGGCATTGTTTTCTAGCTCATAGCATTCACTATTCTGTCTTTCAGAGTCATTTTGGCATATATCAAGGGGCAAGCAATCGTGAAGAGCTTCATGCGCTGCTCAAGAGTACCGTTATGATACGGAGGCTTAAGAATGATGTTCTTTCTGAACTTCCTGAAAAATGTCGCGAGCAGGTAAGTTTATTAATTTGATTAGCTTGTGTTCTTGAAAGCCTTGCAGGTTTTTCTGTCCTTGGACATGAAAAGCACTAGACAACTTCGTGCTCTCATTAACGAGGTACGTTTTGTTTTTCTTTTCTTTTTTTTTTACGTTGTTGACAATTATGTCATTTTCCTTTTTCTTCTTTTTGTTTTTCTTTTGTTGCAGCTGAAAAGTATCCGGGAAAAAATGCAAAATTCGACGGAAAGCGAGACTGAGAAATTGAAGAGGGAGGAGAAGGTTCTAATCACTAAGGTATGCGGAGGGAGATTCTAAAGTTCTAAGTCTTACGTTTATCTATCTGCTAGATATATGCGGAATCAGCTGTTGTAAAGGTTCCTGCTGTTCAAGATTACTTATCCACGATGCTCGAGGTACCTGCAAGCTTTCCCAAGTTGAGGCTATTGACATGTTTGTTTTCCAGACGAATTGTAAGTTTCTTGTTTTTGCTCACCACCATACTATGGTGAACGGCATCGACGAACACTTAAAGGTTCATTTGCAAAACATTTTCAAACAATTACTTATGCCTTTTTCCAACACAGAAAAAAAATGTGGAGTTTATTAGGATAGACGGAGACACATCACCTGTGATTCGTCAAAGTATGGTGGACAAGTTTCAAAACAACGAGAAAGTGAGAGCGGCTGTGGTATGTAGCTATCGCAAAAATTTGCCGGCTAAAATGCTATGATTTGCAGCTAAGCATACGGGCCGCCGGCCTTGGTCTCACTTTAACTAGCGCCAGTACCGTCATCTTTGCCGAGATGTCTTGGACGCCTGGAGATTTGATTCAGGCGGAAGACCGTGCGCACCGTATTGGTCAGGTAATATCCATCTTAGCTTTATCAAGCGTTTCTATGTTGCCCGCAGAGGTCATCTGTGAATATTTATTACCTCCACGCCCCAGATACTATAGACGATTTTATCTGGTACTACTTTGCTTGTTTTTTAGAATGCTTTTTCTGATGGACGTGTGATGGGACAGGGAAACAATTCATCGCAAACTTGGGAACCTTGGTCAGGTATGTGATCTTCCATCGCTGCTTAGTTTTTGTTTGCAATCCTACAGTTATTTTCCTTCGCCAGGTGCTAAATGGTCGAGACGAAACGATGCGCGTGGCTTCGCCTCTGCAGCACCGGCAGAGAACTATAAACAACTACTTGCGACCATGCTCGAGAAATCTGTCCGAGCAATATGAGAAAGACAAGCCAGGAACTTCGGCAGCAATGGATTCAAGTGATGTTTCGCGAAAATTATCGCTTGGAGATGGCAAGCCAGTCGAAAGTTCGCCGTTCAAGCGTCCCAAGCTCTTGTAAAGTAGATCTCAAAATTAGACCCTTGTAAAGTTTAAACTTAGATTGGCGGGAGATATTTTAAGGCGGAGCTTCCGATGCGGCGGGAATCCGAGTGCATCGTGAGTCGACAGTTCTCTTCCCAGTGTTACAATATATATCTGTCTATATGCTGTTAATAGGAAAACACTCCAAGATGTAAAGAGCCTTAGAAAAGCCAGTAGCTTGCACGGAAGAAACCTGAGCTACGATCTCTTGGTTGATTCAAATGGAAACTTGAGGCTTGTTTGAGCTCATTCAACAGAGTCTGAAGCTTTCTCTGGGAAAGGTTTGAGATCGATCAGCCATTGGCTTTCTCCCATTATGAACTTTCTTACAATCTGCATCAATCAACACAGGGATTCACTCTTTTTTTCAATGCAGGTATTCTCTCCCATACGGCATTGGAATGCCTGTGTGACACAATGCTGGAGCCATGGCAGCCAGTGATCTCCAGGCTAAGAGGAGCTGCCAGCTAGCCACTCGATTGTAAAGGGAGCGTGATGAGTTTTGTCAAGAGCAGCAAAAGACTAAGCTAACCCAGAAGTTGAGCTGAACCTTATGTCTAAAATGTAAGTCTCATGCCTATAAAGAGGGATTTATATGGAATTGATGTAATTGCTCAATCTTAATAGATCAGTACAAATAAAGAATTGCCTTATCAATTGGTGAGGAGAAACTCTATCTATCAACCAAACATATACATAAAGAAGAAAAATGTATGATAAGCTACTTAGTTATATGATTGTAATTTAAATCAAAATGAATTTTAATCATAGTATCCAAGCTTGTTTATCTCTAGGAAATGATATTCTTGGCTCAATGGTTTCACCACCTAAGCAACATCTACTGCATAATCACCAATAGACTCGGTAGCCATGCCCTACAAGAACCACAAGACCTCTTGTTCTTGTGCCCACAGGCTAAGTGGCATCTAATTATATTAGCTAATTGAGGTAATTCTTGGCCCAAAGGTTTCAACCACCTGAGCAACATCTGCTGCACAATCACCAATAGACTCAACAAATATACTCTATTGGAACCCTAAGAGCTCTTGTTCTTGTGCCCATTGCATAAGGAGTTTTCCAGGAGCCAAAACAAATTGATAAGCAATGCAAAAGGGCCACAAACCCACAGCAAGTAACATTTTTTGTCACCTATTGTCCATGGCTTGCAATTCTCTGCTCCAGCATCCAATCTCCCTGATTTGTGCCCATGAATTCAAATGATAAACACTCACTAGAGAACTGAGTGCTAATAGGAAGCAAGAACTTTTGCAAAATGAATAGATAAGATAGCATATGCATGAGCTAAGCATGGCAGACTTGACATGCTCATCCACAAACCATGGAGCTCTTGGGCCTCCATCGCTAGCACTAGGTGGCCATTAACTACCACTAACATCCCCATGCTTGAGCACTTAGGCCTCTATCTTTGGCACTAGATACTCTCTTGCTTTTGCTCAAAATTTCGCAATTGGGAGGAGCTGTGGTAAAAAGAGAGTTTGGGCTGTGCAAACAAGCAGGTGTTACTAACATCTCCTCCCCCAACTTGGGCTGAGCTGTGCACTACGAAACCTTGCAAAAATATTTCCCAAAAGATGTGCAGTAAAAAAATAATATTTACTAAGTTGCCCCACATTCAATGGTGCTGATTGGCCAAATCTGGCGGCCCACAAAGCTCAGTTATTTTAGTATTAGTTATATGTATCTATATATGTATGTATGTATGTATGTATGTATATATATAATTATAATATTATAACATATGAATCATTCATTTGGGAGTAAATTTAGTGAATCAAGTCCATCCATTCTTGTATCTAGGCAAGCTAGTTAATATATTTATCCAACCACTCAAATTAGTGGAAATGAGGAGTATTGCAATTTATCATTAGAAAGTAAAGTCTTTTATAGTGTTTTACTCTAATATTCAAGATCATGTTTTTGTTTTAATCCTTCACTCTCTTTTATATCTAAATTTATATTAGCATTTTGCTAAATGTAGAATTTTAGTTATTATTATACTTAACTTTGTTTTTCAATTTGATCTTGATTACATTTCTTTTTTCCATTATCCAATGCCATCATTGATAAAAGAGTATGTCACTTAAGGCTATTAATATTATTCTATTGGATTGAGCTTTTGGTGTTGTAAGGTGTGATCATATTAGTGTTGTGTCCATCCTTAGTGGATTGTCATTTCCAACATTTATGGGACAATAGTGCCTTGTATTTTTAATATTTTATTATCTTTCATTAATATGGAGCATGATTGTGACATCAATTGGAGAGTTATAGATGATATAATTCAAGTTCTAAAGAATATTCAAAAATGAAGTTTATAGGAAGATGATGTATACAAGATTGAGTGGTTTTTAAATTGTAATGAGTAGTTTAGAATAAGTGTAAGTCCTTCAATTTGCCATTTAATCCTTTTTTTACTTTCTTCTCTTTCATTCTTTTTTTTATTTTTGTCATGTTTTTAGTTTTGTTTCCTCATTTGCAGTATTTTCTTCTCTTAACACATAGATCATTTGTGATTCTTATGATTCTTAATCTTGTATTAAATTTAATGTTTTGTCTCCTCCTCATACTAATCTAGATATTGAATGAATGTATGAAGCTAAAATCTTACTTTTGTTTTGTTAAATTTTTTATTAGATTTTGTATTAAATATTTTCCTCTATTCCAAAGGTTAAATCACTTTTGTTAAAGTTTCAAGCTGAGTGTATGTCTCTAGTTATAAATGCCATTAAAAAAATTTATTTTATTGTGGCTACTAAATATATTATGTGTTCCTTTAAGAGTTTGGTATTTTCCATTAATTTTCTCATTTCAAATATTGAATTGTGTGTTGAGAAGATTGAGTGGTATGAATTTTTTCTTTATCTTGTGATGACTGAAGTATTTTATACTAAGAGATCCTTTATTTTTCAAGCTTTAAACATATTTTCTTCTTATTATTTCTTCATTTTTACCTTGAAAATTGAAAATTCTTCTTTTAGTTTTTATTTATCCCTTTTTATTCTTTCACAATATTTTTTTTCAATTTATCTCACTTTACTTTAACATTTTAAATATTTTTTTTCTTTAAAGAAAGGGGTAGAAAGGATGGATGAAAGTTTAGCCTTGATAATAAAGTAAGGATGAATAAATATGGTAGTGGAGCAAGAATGAACAATATAAATTATGATGAAAAGCATAATAAGTGTGAATTGAATATAATATATCTATTTTTGTATATAAACAGTGATCTAAACTTTAATTAATATATTTATTCTCTTTTCTATCAATCACATATATATATATATATATATATATATATATATATATATATATATATATATATATATATATATATATATATATATATATTTGTGATTGTTATAATATGTATGTAAAAGTAAAAAACATATTTTATATTTTATATTTTGATATAAGAAATTATGGTATATATTATTTAATTACAGATATAACAAATTATTGATTATATTTGCATTTTGCATGACTCTTGCCTATAACTTAGCTTACTTGCATCTAAAACACTTTAATTTTTATTTAATTCATTTGTTGAGTTGTTTTAAAAATAGTCCAAGAATATACTTAGTGTATGTCACTTCAACCAAATAGAAAAATATATTTTTTTGTTATATCACTTTATTGTTTTATAACTTTATAGCTTGGTAAATGAGAAAACATACATCTATACATTGAAATAAATGTGTTAATTATCATAATTATTATATTATTTTGTAACATAAAAAGTTTTAATTTTATGTTTTAATAATATATTATAATCACTAAACATATATTGTAAATGCCAACCTAATTTTGTATATCTTCCTTTAAAAAGTGTTTTTAAATTTATTTTAAAAAATTTAAAATAATATATATTTATAAAATTTGGCTAGTTTAACTTTTTTATCATTAAAAATAGTTATATTTATATGATTTTTTGTGATATTCTACATAAGTTACATATGGTACTTCAGGTATACTTTATTTGTATTTACTTCAGAAAATATTATCTGTTAAAAGTGTTAAGATATATTTAAGCATATTCATAAGATGCCTCACATATATTATTATCTTGTTATCCTTTGCTTTAGTGAGCAAAAGTTTCTACTGATTTAAATTTGTAACTATTGAAATGATGTAGTTGTTTGAGGTTGTTAATATACTACAACCCACCATTTTATTGACTCCATTAAATGTTTGATTAATAATTCTAGTGTTGAAAGATATGCTATAAGAACACTTAAAAATAAAAAAAGAAAACAAAGAAAGTGCTGGTTTGAAAGTCATCTACCCGTAGGTTGTTTAGCTATTTGAAAGTCATCCCCCTAGGTTATCTAAATTGTTGAAGGCTATTAATATCTCATTCTGAAGTTGAAGTTATCAACACTCACTTGCCCATTGGTGCTTGAGAATGCTGAATTGCTTGTTTTCACTACATTTAAGTAAGTATTCCTGAGATTTTTGTATTTTTTGTTTCTCTGTGTATATTCGAATTTTGTGATAGATTTTAAATTTTAAAAAAAGGTATTATCGTTGCTGAATTGCTCAACATGTGCCCTTCAAAGTGTGCGTCACCAAAAGCTCCCATTTGGTCTCAAATTGGTCCATGCAGTAGAGTAGCCAAGAACTAAACTCCCTAAACTCACCTTGATCTGTAAGCAAAGGTGATTTCCGCAGCTGCGGCAACGTTCTTTGCAGTGAGTGGAATGATGATCGGCCACGATGGATTCGCGCAAATTAAATTATTCGGAGAAGAAACCAAGAGTTTAAACTCATATTGGCGGGGGATTATTATTTAGGTTTTCAGCATGTCTAGGGTTCTTGGAGAGGGAGCGATGGCGGAGCTCCCGATCCGGCGCGAATCGGAGTGCATCGTGAGCGCTGTGCGCGACAACAGCGTCACGGTCGTGATCGGCGAGACGGGATCCGGTAAGACGACGCAGCTTTCGCAAATCCTCCACGATGCAGGGTTCACAGCCGACGGCAAATGCATCGCCATCACGCAGCCCCGGCGCGTGGCGGCCGTGTCCGTCGCTCGGCGCGTCGCTCACGAGATGGGAGTGACGCTGGGCGAGGAAGTGGGATACGCCATTCGCTTCGAGAACAGGACGTCGAGCAGGACCTTCATCAAGTATCTCACGGACGGCTGCCTTCTCCGGGAATTCCTAGTCGACATCGAGCTCAGCCAGTACTCGGTGGTGATCTTGGACGAAGCCCACGAGAGAACACTCAACACCGACATCCTTCTCGGCTTGCTCAAGCGCCTGGTTGCCTTGAGAAAGCCCGAGCTCAAGCTGATCGTTACCTCGGCGACTCTAGATGGTCACAAGATCTCCAAGTTCTTCGGTGGCTGCCCCGTTGTCAACATCCCTGGGAAGCTCTTCCCGGTGGAGATCATGTATAGCACCGAGCAGCCAGTGAGCTACGTGGAGTCGGCGGTGGAGACCGCGATAGAGATCCACGCCAAGGAGCCTCCGGGTGATATCCTCGTGTTCATGACGGGCCAGGAGGAGATAGAGAAGGTGATCGCCAAGCTGGAGCACAGGGTCCAGACTCTGGAAGAAGGCTCGTGTATGGACGCGCTTGTTCTTCCTCTCCATGCTTCGCTTCCACCGGAGTTTCAGGCCCGGGTTTTCACCCCGGCTCCTAGCAACTGCCGGAGGATCATCGTTGCTACAAATGTCGCGGAGACGTCTCTCACGGTTGACGGTGTTGTCTACGTGATTGATCCAGGCTTCGTGAAGCAGAGACAGTATAATCCGACCACGGGCATGGACGCTTTGTGCGTCGTTCAGATAAGCAGGGTTCAAGCAACGCAGCGAGCTGGTCGAGCAGGACGGACGTGTCCTGGTAAATGTTACAGGCTCTACTCGAGCTCCAACTTCGAGCAAGACTTTCCGGCCGTGACGGTACCGGAGATTCAGAGGTCGTCGCTAGCTGGGGCGCTCCTCCATCTCAAGTCGCTGGAGATTCCAAACCTCGACGTGCTGAACTTCGAGTACCTGGATGCCCCGTCGGTGGCATCGTTGGAGGATGCTTTGAGGCAGCTATATCTCATTGACGCAATCACCAGCAAAGGCGACGTTACCAGCCTTGGCAAGCGGATGGCTGGGCTTCCGCTGGAACCGTCTCTAGCGAGAGCTTTGATTGCTGCGGAGGATCTCGGATGCCTGGAAGACGCTCTAGTACTGGCTGCGATGCTCTCTTGCGACTCGGTGTTTTACCAAGCTCCAAAGAAGGAGAAGAAAGAACAATCAGCTGTTCACCAGGACTTGCCAACAGGAGACGGTTTTGGCGATCACATTCAGCTGCTACAGATCTATGAGAAGTGGAGAAGGGTGGATTACGACTTCGAGTGGTGCAAAGAGCACGGTTTGCAGATAAGAGCGATGAAGTTCGCGAGGGACATACGGAAGCAGCTCAGCCTGATCATGCAAGGGAAAAGTGACTTCAGGAAGCGGAAAGATCCAGCGTACAAGAACTTACGCAAGGCTTTTGCCGAAGGCTTTGCGAACAGGCTTGCTCATCGGCTGCCCAATCACAACGGGTACCGCACTCTGGCACAAAGCTCTCACCTCGTGCAAGTTCATCCTTCAGCTTGCAAGATGGAAATTGATGCGGACGGACTGCTACCCGAGTGGATTCTTTACCACGAGTTGCTAACAACGACACGGCCGTATATCAAGAAGATTTGCGTCATTGAAGGTCGCTGGGCTCAACCGACGCTGGTGAAGCTTCAAGACCTGGACGTCATAAGCTTGAGTGGCAGGCTGCCAGAAGAGTCAAGGACGCATTTGGACGAATCGTCGGAGACTAAGCCCGCAAGTGCCGTCACTCAACCAGCTAACAAAGAAGCGGTGGACGCTGCTCGAGAACGATATATGGCTCGCAAAAAGGCCAGGACCAATCCGGCACGGCTTTCAGCCCGCTGACGTTTTACGAGGTATGAAGGTGTCTTACTTTCTTACTTCTATGCATGTCTTACAGAAATTATGTTCGGTGCTTCTTTCACAGTAAACAAGAAGCAAATATGGTGCTGCTACTCGAGTTCCTCCATTCTGATTTTGGCGCTTCCGGATAGCTCGTTTTATTTTCAAGGTGTGCTTAGTTGTTTCACAGTGGGGTGTTTGAGCTCATTTAATTCACAGTGCTGAGGCTTCGGTGGTCCACTGTTTGCACCGCAGTGAAGGTAATTTGTAATCGTGTGCTTTTTGAGGATCTTGCTGTTGTCAGAAACGCTCTGCCGAGCATTTTTGAGGCCTTGGAGTTGTTTATGAATTTTTCTCCTCTATTGTGGCCTTTGAAGCGCTTCCAAAAGGTTGGAATCTCGTGTTTCATTGGTGTCTAATGCTTATTCCTGACAGGAAGCGTTCTCATTCTTTATGATTATCTCGTCTGGAATCAAATAACAATATACATAGCACCAACACCACCACCTTGTCATTTTTGGGGAGGCATCTATCACAATAAGGAGTTGCCGAACTTTCTGGGCCGCCGGATCCAGCCAATCGCAGCCGTCCGATGGGGGGTAACTGTAAAGGGGTTATTTTTTTAACCACGTGTTAGCGAATAATCGCACTGATGTTTGCTCCCGGCCAATGGGAGGCGGCCAAACCGCGTGGGGCGAGAGAGGAAGGCCCGGCGACACGTGTCACATGCAAATGTGTTGACCGTTATTGTCTGGGCTCGAGCAGCAGCAGCAGCAGCCCAAGGCCGCGAGGAAGATCTGGCGGCTGGAGCAGGATCGATCATCCTCCTGGCGGTGGAGCGAGTTGTCACAGCATCCATAGTACCTTCTCTACAGGACAAGGATGGTGGGCTCTTCCTGGGGATCAAGAAGGTTGTGGACGAGGGATCGTCGTCGGCTCGCTGGATCAGTGCCGGCGGCGTCATGCCGGGCCTGCTACAGACTCAGGCATCTCTCCCGGAGCAGGAAGAATATCACTCTCACTCGGAGAATGATCCAGACCTGGACATCGACATGAGGACTGGTGCCAGATCTAACAAAGCTCCCAAAGATTGCAAGTTCGCGGGGTGCGGGAAGGGCGCTCGAGGAGCCTTGGGGCTGTGCATTGCTCACGGTGGTGGCTGACGCTGTGTTGTATACATCCGCAATGACTTAAACATTGACTAGTGCATCAGGATCTAGCACATGATCTCTATTTCACTAGGATCCTCCACCGCCACTCCCTTTTCACGTTCATCTTCCATTTGTGCTGCAAACTCTATTTCACCGTGCATATGTGGCATGTCCCATGGAAAATTTTCATTGCACACAATCATGTTTAGATTGCTCTTATAACAATCAAAACATAATTGTATGCATAATAATTTTGTGTGCATTTGAAAACAAAAGAATATATGTGTAATAAAAGATGCAATCACATATTGGTAATATTGGTATATATTGCACATATTGCAGAAGATAATATTCTAAAAGGTTTAAATACTTTTCTTGTTAAATTCTTTTCAAAAAAGAGAAAAATATCCTTTTTATAATAACAAAGAAGATTATAAAATAACACTATAAATATAGCATATAAGAAAAACAATTATGGCTTTAAGTTTTTTTTTTTTTTTCTTCTTTTTTAAATTTGTTTATGCAGCTGAAATTGGTTTTATACCTGGAGATACACATCTTGTACTTGCAAATACTACAGAGAGAATTATTTCATTTTTACTCTTAATGGTAAATAGAGCAATTCCACCTCGTACTACTATGCCATTGGGCCAAGGCATATTTGGTACTATTATTATTGAAGATGACATATATGGTAATATAACTGTTGTTATGCAGATATGGCTTTTTAGTGTTGAAAGAGGGAACGGCTATAGATATTGTTCTACGAACCCTTCTGGTGAAGATAGAAACACTACTTTAGTAAGGCATGAATTAGTTAATTTAATAATACAAAATCATTCCACTCTTGTAAATCTTGGATCTAGATTTATTGCTTTGACATCAGGAATATATGGTATTTATTACATAATTAGGAATATACCAGCTGATGGAGGATCTAGACAAATTTTATCAATTAAAAATATTGGTTCAAACCATTGTCAAATTTATTCAGATAAATTATTTAGTTCTACTATTTATAATGTTCTATTACCATATCATTTTATAATCTCTCAAAATAGAAAAGCATACCTTTATTTACATCCTAACTGTAATTTAGAGCTTTATATTTATAATGAGGTAAAATGGTCTGTATTAAAACATAATAAAAATTGTTATCTTATTTTGCAATATGATGGAAATTTAGTTTTTTATTCTGAAGATAAAAAAGCTTTATGGTCACCAAATAAATATTGTAATGCCCAGCCTAATTGTGTAATGAATACTTATCTTTCCTTACAAAGTGATTGCAACTTAGTTTTATATAAAAATGTTCAAGCTAGATTTTCTAAAGTTATAAAAAGTAATCCTATTTGGGCAACTAATACTTTTTGTTAGTACTTAAATTATTTCATAATTCTATTCACACTGATCTTTCTTTCATTTAATATTTTTTATAGATACTTATAGATTTCTAGATATTTTAAATGATGTTGAAGTTTTAATTATGATACACTGATGACATTTGTGTTTTTTTACATTTAATACTAATAGTACTGAAATAGTTAGTATGACTGATATTAACTAACATTTTCACGAGGGCTCCAGACACTTCTATAGCTGTTAATGCCTCGAGAGTTTAGAAGTTCTAACACCTTGGGAGAAATAGAACACTTTGGTGTTTTATATTGGCCTGGATTCGCTCCCATTTTCACAGCTTCTTACGTGATCTTCTCAAACGTTCCCTGCTTCACAATCACCTCCAGTCAATCAATGACTCCATCAATCCCCACATAGACTTGATTGAGAGACATGTCAATGGCTGAGGAGCACCTCTCTAGAATTTCTTTCTTTTTGGAATGGTGTAGTGGGGCGGGAGAGCGGATAAGTTGCCATAGCTCGTGAAGTTTGTCATCTCAACGCCGGCTTCCCACGAAACCTCGCTCACCACGTTTTGAAGCTCTTGCTCATCTTGAAACCATCTCATTGTGAACACTCAGCACTGCCTTCCTGCGATCGCTAAAAGCCAGACGAGGAACTTCATGAAAAAAGCTATCGACTTTTACCACGTCCCCGATTCTATATCGATACAAGCCTGTGGAAGTAGTCTCTCAGAATCACTTTGATATAAAAAGTAAAAAAGAAAGATTAACCTGCGAAGTTTGTGATGACCACCTCGTACTGCTCTCCAACTTGGACTTCATGCAAACCAAGTATATTATCACATGAAGTCGAATCCACAGGGAGAAACTCGTAGTAGAGTGCTGTTGGCACCATTGTATAGACAACACGCTCCGGATGGCATCGAGGATCAGCATTGATCCCAATCGCTCCCTCAGACGAGAAGTAGTCCAGTCCAACTATCGGAACTTGGTCTCCAACATAATCTCTCAAAGATGGAACGTAGAGTTTCATCGACCCCGTCACCACAGTCGACATGACGTTTGTCCTGGGAAACAGCAGCAGCACAATTCCAGACCACGAATCCCTGCTGCAAATCTCGGAGATAACCTCGGCCTCAACAGGGTCGCCACCTTTGATGCCATCGAAAACTGGAGAAGCTAGAACTGCCTGCCTGAGATTTGGGCTTGTCACCTTCCCCTCGCACAAGCTCCCAGCTCGTATGTCGCTGCAAATCTCTCTCCACTCGGCCCGGAGCATCCGGATTGCCTCGCAGATGGTGTAGGAGAAGATGGAGATGATCTGCTCCACTTTGCCTCTTTGGAGCAGAGCACACAGCCAGTGGCAGTACGTGAGCTCTCGCCAGTCGCTTCCAGCGACAAGAACCTCGTACGGAGTCGTGTACTTGCTCGACGTGGCCTTGAATCGCTCGCCCTTCAAGGCGTATGTGCTTGCGGCAGACACCAGAAGCCCGGACTTGGTCTCGACTTGATCCATGCAGTAGAAGAAGCCAAGAATTATGCCATTGTCGGATGGAAAACACCTAAAGGGAAAGTAACAAGCATTGAGAGATCCAGCCAATCGTCAGTCACCTTGTTCTGTAAGCATTGGCGATTTCGGTAGCTCTGCCCGATGCAGCAGCATTCTCCGCAGTGAGTGGAATGATCTTACCGTTGGCAGAAGTTGTCCCGGAGCTAATGTTGCAGTGGAAGCACAAGTTAAAACAAGATAAATGGGACTCGTACCTTGCAAAGAAGTGGAGGATAGGATAGCTGCAGAGGAGTGGGCCTTGAACTCCGCTAGCAATCTTGTCAATCTCGCTGCCGACGTCCTCGTAGGAGATAATTGGGACTTGGGCCTTGAATGCGGCCAGGGTTTGAGGGCTCCCGTACCTCTGGAGGTAATGGCAGCTTGAGTTGTCGTCGAGGATGCGGCCAAGGACTCGCTCTTGATTCGAGCTTGCATCCTTGCAGGATTGCTCGAAGTCGGCAATGACAGCGGCCATTAGAAACAGACTCGGGCATACATTCTAGTTACAAACTCGTGGTGAGGAGGATGGATGAACTGTGTTTGTTTATAATAATAAGAGAACCGCATTGTGTAGTAAGTCGCTTTGGCCGAGTGGTTAAGGCGTGTGCCTGCTAAGTACATGGGCTCTGCCCGCGAGAGTTCGAATCTCCCAGGCGACGATCTTAACGAGTTTTAGGCGGGAAAATCTAATTTACGTTTTAAGCACTTCTAGGGTTCTTGAGGGAAGGCGGCAGAGGTAAGATGTAGCTCCCGCAAATCGGCGGCTCAGACAGATTTTCTAGCGGAATTTTCCCCGGCACAGCGCCTTGAGCTCGCTGATCAAAATCGCGATTCCTAGGCCAGCTCCAGGAGGAGGACTCCTGGTTCTTCCGCATTTCCAGGTGGAGTAGAGGGAAGCGACGCCACGGAGAGAGTGTAGCGACGTCATAAGACAAGCGCATGGCAGGACTCGACTCTAGCGGGAGCTTTGAGAATGCTCTCTGGCGACTCGGTGTTTTACCACTCTCCAAAGAAGAAGAAAGACGATCCGCAACGACAGGTAGTCGATTGCATTCAGGAGTGGAGACTGCGATTCGAAGAGCACGATTAACGCGACGGAGTTTGTGTTCATGCAAAAGTGACTTCATGAAGCGGAAAACAAGGATTTACGCCAAGCTTTTGCAGAAGGCGTTGCGAACACGCTCGCTAGTGGGCTTTCAGATCAGAGCGGGTGGTACCGTAAGATGGCTCAACAGCTTGGCAAGATGGAAAGTGGACACAAGTTGGAGTTTGATTTCTTTACCACGAGTAACGGCGACACGGCCTTCTTTATATCAGGGAGATATGCCGATCGGATCAACCGACGCTGGTGAAGCTTTCAGGACCCGGACATCACAAGCTTTTAAGTTCCAGCCTGCCAAAAGCGCCAAGGACGCCTTTGACGTATTATTGGAGCCCAGACCCGCCAGTGCCGTCTCCCAACCAGCTAACGAAGAAGCCGTAGATGCTGCTCGAGAGCGATATATGGCGTTGCCAAAAAGCCAAAGCTGCTGTGGTGGCCACTCCTGCACGGTTTCCGGTATGGCAGTGTCGGTTGTGCGTGTATGGTATTTTGTGATATCTCTGCAAATCTTCTGTGCGCAGGTGGTTCTTCTCACTGTGAAAGATGTCATCATCGAAGCGGATATGCTGCTGCAGTCAATGAAATCGTTTTCTATCGCTGCTGGGGTCCCTCCATTCTGATCTTGGCTCTTCCGTGTTATTCCAAGGTGTGGATAGTTTGCTCCAGTGTGAGGTCTTGGGGGTGTTTAAGCTCGCTCAATTTTGCAGCGATGGCGGAGGCTGAGGATTCCCCCGGTAAAGGCTACATGTGGAATCTGGACCGGATTGATCAACCGTTCGGGGAGGAAGCCGATCGTGTACACAATTTGCACACGGCGAAGGTAACTTGCAATTGTGTGCTTTTTGAGGTTCTCAAACCCTGTCGTCGCTGTCAGAAACTCTCGACAACCACGACTCTGCGCTTAGCGTTCTTGAGCCTTGGAGTTGTCTATGGAGACTTGGGAACTTCTCCACTGTATGTCTTCTCGAACATCTTTCCCGACGGTATCAAGGACCGGAATGACCTTTTGGGAACACTGTCGCTGATCATCTACACCATCACTCTGATTGCTCTCGTGAAGTACGTCTTTTTTGCATTAAGAGCGAATGACAACGGAGAGGGTATGTTGAGTTCATTAAGATTGGAGAAACCCCTGATTCTTCTTCGGTTTTCTTTTTTCTAGGTGGAACTTTTGCTCTGTATTCCTTGATCTGTAGACATGCCAAAGTCAACACAATTCCCAATCAGCACCATACGGACAGAGCATTGACAACTTATAGTTTTCGGCCCATGTCCAAGAAGTCAACTGCTTACAAGCTGAAAAATGCACTTGAGACTAGCCTTTTCTTACAGAAGATACTGCTGGTGCTTGTCCTTCTTGGTACCAGCATGGTTATCGGAGACGGCATGCTGTCTCCGTCAATATCAGGTGTGCTGGCCTTGAAGCGCGTGTCTGTTTAAGGATAACACTTGTTGTCTATCAAAATGCAGTACTATCAGCAGTTCAGGGAATCCGACTCTCCCATTTGGAGCTTCCAAAAGGTTGGTTTTTCTATTTTTCTCTTCCGATATTGTGAACTTCTAACGGTAATGCGTTCTGCTAACAGGGAGCGTTCTCATTCTCTCCTTATTGATTCTGGTTGCTCTATTCAGCATGCAACGATTTGGAACTGCCAAAGTCGGCTTTATGTTCGCGCCAATTATCTTCATCTGGTTTATTTCAATTGGCACTATAGGAATCTACAACATCTTTGTTCATTATCCTCCTGTCTTCAAGGCTCTTTCGCCTGTTTACATTTTTCGTTACTTTCGTGCTCAAGGAGTGACCGCATGGATTTCCCTTGGAGGTGTCGTTCTTTCCGTTACAGGTGAAGCTTTGTTTGTTTTCCTTGGCAATCTCTCATCTCCGGATCCGCTAATTTTCCAGGAGCCGAAGCTTTATTTGCAGACTTGGGCCATTTCACGGCGCAATCCATCCAAGTAAGTTTCAAGCTGCTTATTTGTAAACTGTGTTCACTAAGTCGCACCATGGCAGCTTGCGTTTACTATTATAGTGTTTCCGTGCTTAATAGCAGCTTACATGGGACAAGCTGCTTATCTTATGAAGTATCCACGGGATGTTGACGAACCATTTTACAACTCGATACCGAATAGACCGTTTATCTACTGGCCGATGTTCGTAGTTGCGACAGCAGCTGCAATTATAGCAAGCCAAGCAACGATCTCGGCTACGTTTTCCATCGTCAAGCAGGCCGTAGCGCTTGGTTGCTTCCCAAGAGTAAAAATAGTTCACACGTCGCACAGGTTTCTGGGACAAGTGTACGTTCCCGAGGTAAACTGGACCCTGATGGTCGCCTGCTTGCTGATAACAGCGGGTTTCCGGGAGACACAGCAGATCGGAAATGCATACGGTAAGCTTTTAAATGTAATCTCTAGTTTAACAGTTTTTTTCTCACCATTGTGCCCTCGCAGGTGTGGCAGTCGTGCTCGTCATGGTCGTGACAACGTTTTTGTTGGCTATGGTTATGATTCTTATATGGCACAGCAACCTCTACTTGGCCTTCTCCTTCCTGGCGGTGTTTGGCTCGCTGGAGTTGCTCTACTTTTCATCGGTTTTGTTCAAGGTGACGAGCGGGGGATGGGTTCCTCTGGCGATAGGCTCGGTTCTCATGGCAGTCATGTACTTCTGGCACTACGGCTCTTGCGAGAGGCACAAGTTTGAGCTCCAGAACAAGGTGTCCCTTGGATGGATCCTCCAGCTCGGCCCAAGCCTCGGGATGGTGAGGCTGCCAGGAATCGGCCTGTTCTACACCGAGCTAGCTCACGGGGTTCCATCGATCTTCTCGCACTTCCTCACGCACTTTCCAGCGGTCCACTCCATCCTCACCTTCGTGTGCGTCAAGTATCTCCCGGTGAGCACCGTCGCCAAAGAAGAGAGGTTCCTGCTGAGGAGGATCGGTCCCAAGCAGTTTCGGATGTACCGCTGCGTGGTGAGGTACGGCTACAAGGATCTCCACAAGAAGGACGACCACTTCGACGAGCTTCTCATCCGCGCACTGGCCGCCTTCATTCGCTACGAGTCGCTCATGGAGAGCGTGGACGAGCAGTCGGAAGAGACCGTGACGAGCAACGGGTCCCTGGAAAGCTGCGGCGCGGCTCCTCCACTGCAAGCACAGGTGGACGGGCACACCATCACTGGCAGTGAGATTTGCTTGACAGCGTCAAGCGTCTCCTCGATCCAGCGGCAAACTCCAAGGAGCTTGAGAGAGGAGGAGGACGAGTGCGCGTTTCTGATCAAGTGCAAGGAAGATGGGATCGTTCACATAATGGGGAGCACTGTGATGCGAGCAAGGCAAGGTTCGGGCTTCTTCAAGCGGCAAGCCATCAACTCGGGGTATAGTTTCCTGCGGAAGCTGTGCAGGGACACGAGTGTGATATACCATGTACCTCACGAGAGCCTCCTTCACGTAGGGATGGTTTATAACATTTGATATGTGGCTAAAGTCACCTTTCGTTTTTGTAGAAGTTACTTCTTTAACTTATCCTGTGGTTCTTTTCTTTTTATATTAACAAGAAAAGTTTTTTATATAAAATACCTTTCTTATTAAACGGTTGATTGTAGCTTTTAAAAGAAGAATATATGGATATAAGTATTACATTTCTTGTTTTTCTGTTTTTAAAATTTGTTTATACATCTAGACTTGATTATAGATCACAAGATATAAATCTTATACATCCAAATACTACAAGTATAGTTGTTTCAAGATTACTTATGATGGTACATAATGCAATTCCATCTCAAGATACCATACAAATAGGCCAATCTATTGACAATGAAGTAATCCTAGAAGATGGGATTCAGGGCAATATAACTGTTACTATGCAAATATGGCTTTATAGTGTTGAAAGAAGGGAAAATTATGTATATTGTTCAACTAACCCTTCGGAGGAAGAAGAGAGAAATAGTACCATGATTTAGCTAAATTAATAATGGAATATTATGAAGAGCTTTTAAGACTTGGATCTAGAATGATTTCTATAACATCAAGAATATATGTATTTATTATTTGATTAGTAACATACCTCCTGAAGGAGGATCGATACAAATATTATCAATGAAAACAAGTGAGTTAAATGACTGCCAGATTTATTTAAACACATTAATTAGTTCCACAATTTACAATATTTTATTGCCTTATCATTTTATAAGATCTTGAAACAAAAAAAGCATTTCTTTATTTACATCCTAATTGTAAACTAGAACTTTATATACATAATAAATCAAGATGGTCAATTTTAGGAAATCATAAAAATATTGCAACCTGATGGAAATTTAGTGTTTTATTCTGAAAATAAAATTATTTTATGGTCACCAAACAAATATTGTAAAGATCAACCTAGTTGTATAATGACTACATATCTTTTTTTACAAAATGATTGTAACTTAGTTTTATATAAGCACTATCAAAAACGTTTTTCTACAAACATTAAAATTATACCACTTTGGTCGACTAATACTTTTTGCTAAGTTATTAAAAAATTAATCATTAAAAAATTTAAAAGTAAAACCTTACTTACTTTACAATTTAAATATAAAATGCTATAATATATAACTTCAGGATATTCAATAAAAATGAATTCTGGTATCATGTTAAACTTTAAACCTAGAAATAATTTACTTCAATGTAGAGAGTAGAGGCTTCAAAACTCCATCTTCAATCTCATATCCTTTGCCAACCATCTCTTCCACAAACTTGGCCGCTTTGCCTCGTGCCTTTCCACCATACGCCAAGTCCATAATCTCCTCCAGCACCGCTCGGGCCTCTCCTCCCTGCCCCGATTTACAAAGCCCCGCCACCAAACTAGCACACCTCTCCGGAGCCGGGAGCTGCCCACCTCGTACCATATCCCTCACAAACCCCAGCGCCATCTCCATCTTCCCTGCGTCGAGCAAACCATCCACGGCAAAGCGATACACTTCGTCACCCCACGCCTCGCTCCGCAAGCTCTCTCGCCCCTCGCGGAGTATCTCCAGTGCCCGAGCACTCCTGCCGCTCTTGCAAAGCTCCGCTGCCAGTGTCCCATACACGACGTGGTCGGGAGAGATCCCTGCGCAGACCATCTCCCCGAAGAGCTTGAGCCCTCCATCGACCTGACCCGCGGAGCAAAACCCGAGTATCAGCGCAGTGTACGTGAACAAGTTTGGAGCGCAGCCGGAGCTCTTCATCTGCGCGAACACCCCGCAAGCTTCCGGAAGCCGGTTGGCCTTGCAAAGCCCCGAGACGAGCGCAGTGTAAGTCACCACGTTTGGAGCAAGCCCCCGGGCGACCATGTCCGAGAGGAGCTCCCGGGCTCTCTCCGTTTGCCCCGCCCGGCAATGCCCGTGGACGAGCGTGTTGTAAGTCACCACGTCCGGGGACTGCCCGCTGGAAACCATCGCGTCTAGCACCTCTCGAGCTTCTTTGATCCGGCCCGCCTTGCACAGCCCGTGAATCAGCGTGTTTTGCGTCACCACCGTCGGCTTGCACTGCCTCTTCACCATGTCTTCCAAAAGGTGGCGGGCATCATCGACTCTGGCGATGGAGCAAAGCCCGGAGATGAGTGTGCTGTAAGTCACCACGTCCGGGACGTGGCCATCGTCGGTCATCCTCTTGAGCAGCCTGAAAGCCTCGTCCATCTTTCCTCTCTTGCAGTGAGCGTCGATCAGGATGTTGAAGGTGAAGCGGCTGGGGCGGCAGCCTTTGCTCCTCATGCTCTTGAAGAGCTCCAGTGCCTCGTCCAGAGTGTAGGCCAAGCACATCCCGTGGATCACAACGTTGTATGTCACGGCCGAGGGGGTGATGCCCGAGTCGAGCATCCTCCGGAAGAGCTTGTAGGCCTCGTTGAGCTTCCCAGCTTTGGCAAGGCCGTCGATGAGGATTCCATAGCTCCAGCTATCCGGTGGTATGTCTCGCGCTTCCATCTCGTGGAAAACTTGACAGGCTTGATCGATCTTCGACTGCTGGCACAGGCCGAGGATGATAGTGTTGTGTGAGCGACGGTTTGGAGTACAGCCCAGGCGCTCCATCTCGTTGAACAGGAGGAGAGCTTCTTCCACTCGGCCGGACTTGCAGAGCCCGTCCATGACCGTGTTGTAAGTCACCACGTCCGGGACGTGACCATCTTCTATCATCTTCTTGATCAAGTCGCAGGCCTCCTCCAGCATTCCTCTCTTGCAGCTCGCGTCGATAATAACGTTGTAAGTCACCGGGCTTGGAGGGCAGCCTCTCCGGTTCATGTCCGCGAAGAGCTCGCGAGCATCGTCGAAGCTGTTGGCCATGCAAAGCCCGTGAATGAGACTCGTGTAGGCCACCGTCGAGGGAGTCACTCCCGAGTGTAGAAGCTTTTGGAAAAGGTCGCGAGCGTCGTTAAGTTTCCCTGCCTTGGCGAGGCCGTCGATGAGGATACCATAGCTCCAGCTATCCGGTGATACGTTTCTTTCGTTCATCTTCTCGAACATCTGGACCGCCTCGTCGATTCTATCGTTCTGGCACAGTCCCAGGATGACGATATTGTATCCCCGGAGGCTTGGAGGCGAGGAACTCGAAGAACTAGACGGAAGTTCTCTGTCACCAAACAGCCGGACTGCCTCCTCGACGCGACCGGCCTTGCAAAGCCCGTCCAAAACCGTGCAGTAGGACACTTCGTCGGGAGCACACTCCTCGTCGGGCATCGCTCTGAGAAGCTCGCGAGCCTTGTCGACTTGTCCTCGCGAGCAAAATCCTTCGAGAAGCACGTTCAAGGTGACGAGACAAGGCTCACTCCTGTTCTCCCTGTAAACTTGCAGCGCCTCGTCTATCCTTCCGGAATCCATGAGCCCGACAAGAACAGCGTCGAGAGAACCGGCCGCGAGAGGTATTCTTTTCTCGGACATCGTTCTCGCCAGCTCCAAGGCATCGTCCACTCTGGCAGCCTTGCAAAGCGCCACTAGGACGATGTTGTAGGCGCTAGAGTTTGCAACTGGCATAATCTCCAGTAGCTGAAAGGCACGCTCCATGCTTCCTCGCAAGCATAGCTCGTGCGCCAGAAAGATCGATGTTGCAAAGTAAGGTGGTATCATCCTGCCTCTCATCTCGTCCATAACGAGCTCCGCCTCGTCCATCTTCCCAGCCTTGCAGAGCCCACACAAGATGGTGGTGAAAGTAAACGAGTCGGGAAAACACCCTCTGTCCACCATCACTTGCACCATCTTCTTTACGGCCTCTGTTTCCTGCCTCTTCGAAAGGCTGTCTATCAGAACGTTGTAAACGTCCGGGTATGGAGAGTGGCACTCTTCCATCAGGGAGAAAATTTTCACCGCCTCGAAAGTTCTCCCAACGTTGCACCATCCCTGGATGACGCTGGTGAAGAGCAAGGGAGCCGGAAAAATCCCTTGCTGAAACATCACTCGAAGAACTTTCTCGGCCTCGGCTAGCTTCTCAGCTTCCACGAATCCATGAACAAGGGACGAGCATGTAGCCTCCTCCACCAGAGTAAAATCCCTTGAGAACTTGTGACAAAATACCTTCCAGGCCTCCCCAAGCCTTATACTACCCTGAAATTCTTTTTCTAACTTTGAAGCGCTTTTTTTCTTTGCAATTCTACCCGCATTGCTTCGATCTTCCACACCTGTTCTGGACAAATCGATCAATCTCCTCCAGCGGCTTCCACTGGAGCATCTAAACCCACCTGAGAACGATCGCCTGCTGCCGAAGCCAAATGTAGCACACCCCGATAGCAGCAAGGGTCTCAACCTCCTTGAGTTGTGTGCCATCGGCCTCCATTCTCTTTAAGAACTAGATACCATAAACCCTAAACCCAGGACCTTTCATTTTGAATATTTCTTAATATATATATATAAGGAAAGATATATCCTTTATATTAAATTTCAGTAAAAGTGAATAAATTAGTTTTCCAACTTAATGTATATCAATAAAACTTTTGTTAATAATAAATTCTTTTCTCACATGTTTTTGTTTTTATTTTTTCTGTTTATGTTCTGACATCGATTTTTTTAAAAGTTTATGTGAAACTTCCATACTCTCAAAACATTTTTTTATGTAATTACAAATTTGTTACTTTTGCATAGGAGGGAAAAAAGGAATATTATTAAAGTTGATATAATTTTAAACATGATATCAATCCTTTAAAATTATAAAAATAATTATTATTTAAAATAATTATAAAATTAAAATTATGAGAAATATAAGGGCCCAACATATTGGGGTTTCAATATATCAAAATCACTTATGAAATATAAAAATATTAATTTTTAATATTAATTAAAATACTCACTATTAATTGCAATTGCTGGTGCTTGTATTGCAATGTTCTTCAACTAAAGAATAAATTTTTAATCCTGACCAAATATTATTTAATTTCAATACTGTATTCTATATATATTAATTACTACATTGTATTTATTTTCAATTATAAAATAAAATATATATCTATTTAAGTTTTTATATCTACTAATACCCCAAATTTTATTTTTACTTGTGACAATGAAAAATAAAAAAAGAATTAAAAACTGGTATTTGTGATGTTTTTGTTTCTCAAATTTGAATTTTAATAATATAGAAAACTACTTTTCAAATTATAATTATAATTTCTTTTCAAATCATAAAGATAGTTTTCTAAGAAAACTGATCATATGGAATAGGAGTGGGATATCAAAATATGTTTTATTTGGTTCTTGAATTGTTTGGTCATAGTGGCTATATTATTATTTCATCAAGAGTGACACTTCAGCATTAAGTTATTGCCACTTACTAGCAAATTGCTTAAAGGTACTCAATCAATATATAATTTTCCAAATACAGGACATATTAATATAGAGTTTGATATTTGTGGCTGTAAGTTAAAATGTTTTAAATATTAAGGTTATGGGCATGCAAGGGCCATGTAGAAATAAGTCTTCAAATATGTTTTTGTGGGAGAGGAAAGTGTTCAAAAAACATTCCATGCTTATTAATAGCTATCTTGCTAACACACACAAAATTGGTGAATGTTAATACTTGTTACTGCAGATTTAATCCAAGTTATAGAAATTGTACCAAGGAATTCATAGCACTGGCTTTCCTGTGATGATTAACCCAACTCGTTTTCAATGGCCATCCAAACCTTAGGAGTTTTGAAATTTTAAACATACACTTCCCAGAATTTAGCTTGCATTTTTTCTCATTGAGCTCTGCCTAGTTGTAACGAAGAAGAAAGTTCATTGTTCCTTGGCACAAAGAATTGTGTTTTCTAACTCGTGTTAATGAACAAAAGCGACATATACGAATGCTACCACAGAGCTGGGTTTGGCCCCAAGATTGTTCTTGCAAACCAGTATAGGAGTGCGAGTGAAGCTCTGGGAAGTTTGCAACGGGGTGTGGGGTCTGAAAGTTTTCAACAAGATTTTCATTTTGTGAAAATCAAGTAGCCTTTGTCAACCCCCTCTCAACTACATCTATGACATATCCTCGCATGTTTCGTAAGCAGATTTTCCAGGGTACATTGAGACTGGCAGTGCAACGCTGGCTCTACACCCTCATCACTAATATTCTTGTGGCGGTTAAGGCCTGAATTACTGTGGAACTTGGGTGAACAACATGGGAAGCATATGCAAAGGAGGTATCGAGCAGGACTTGCTCATAGCCGGTGTGGAAGCCTGCGTAAAATTTTGGAGAAATTTTGTGAAGGAATTCAATAGGCCAAGTATAGCTTTGATCTCTTCCCTCTTTCAAAGGCCTTGTATGAACGGAAATCATCGAAGGCTACACTGTTACTAAAGGAGAGTGTAAAATAAAAAGGCACAGTGCGGGAACAAGGCTGACAAATTCCTGGACCTCAAGTCGCTTGGTACTGAAAAATGAATGTTTATATTTTCCTTAAAAAAATGACTAGGGACCTTGAAAAGAAAACCAACATTTTTCAAGATACCAGTTTGTATCGTCCTGTCTGCCAGTGCCACTCAAGGTTCCCGGATATGATATGAGACAAGCCTTCCAGGTAAGCCTCCATTGCACCATCGTAGCAGCATGATCTTCTGATATTCTCGCACAGCTTTTTGAATCGATGATCGATACTCTGCAGCAGTTTGTGAGCTTTGTCGTCTGCGTACTCGAAAGAAAAGCTCTTTGAATCCGAATTGCCACACATAATCGTGTGGACGATATTGAACTGAGTATCTCCAGCTGCAATGTCCACCAGGAAGCAAAACAAGTCGTTGACACAACTTACGTGGTCTGCAACTAGTCATTCAGCTTCTTGGAGGTCCTGATTTGAAACGGCGTCGTCCTGGAGTTTGAATCCCATGCCATACTCCATTAGTTTCCATAACAAATACACCAACTAACACGCGACGGTGAGTCAGCAGCCCCTCCAAGCCCATCACCGTTTTCAGATTCTTCAGCTTCACCTGATTCACGCTTGCCTCCAACAGCTCGGACACTCTGTTGGAAAATCGCTGGCATGGATTATGCCAAGGTAGCTCTTAACAAGCCTCTTGGCACCTCCAAAGTCAGCTCCAAGGCCCTACAAGTCGTCAAGGATATCATCAACATGGAAGCACCAACAGGCAAGCTTGCACATATTCTCAACTCTGGAATCATCAGCAACAGGGATAAAATGCAAGTGGCTCGAACTCTCTTCTCAGCAGCAAGGCGTTTCCTACTTTCGGGATTCCCTTCACCATGCGCAAGCTCCCAATTTGCAGCCCAATCTTCCAAGCCTGGGCGAATGAAAGAATACAGAGGGTGGCACTTAACCAGGGAATGAGCACTGCACATTTGGAACGAAATCGTAGGGAGCCATTGGGATCTGAATGAAACCACACAACAACCATACAGCACATTCGTCTTATCGGTAGGAGACGTGAAACAGGCAAACACAAAAATGGAGCGCTGAGTTCATATGGCTTGCAACTATGAAGGAGAGCAGAAAACTGAAGAGAGTAATAAGAATATATACAAAGATTCCCTAAAACCCGTATTTAGAAGGTTTCATTGAAGTACAGATATCACCACTTTGCCACATGCCCTGCCACCTTCCAAGTAGCAAAAAGCATCCACTACACTACCAAAATCAAAGGGGCCTTTGGGATCAATCACTGGTTTCACTGTGCCACTTTCCAAGAAGTCTTTGAGCCTCACCAGATTGGATCCATTGGAAGTAACCACAAATCTAAACCCAGGAGGATTTACTGGCCCAGTCAGAACAACAGCAGTGCCTCCTTCTTTGACAACATTTGTGCCTTTTGGCTCCCCTGGATGCACAAAACCATAAAATGTTACAATAGAAACGGGAAAAGCAAAAAGAAAGAAAGAAAAAAAAACAAAACATACCAACAGCATCAAAAACAACGTCGTATCTCTCCGGCATGTCTTCAAAGTTCTTCTCTTTATAATCTATAACAATGTCGGCTCCCAAAGACTTGACAAGCCCCAGCTTGGGAGTACTAGTCGTGGCTGCCACAAGCGATGCTCCATACACAAACTTTGCAAGCTGCATTTCAAAGGTTGAAGAAGAGTAAGCAAAGAAATCCAGACCTGTATAGCGAGTGATCCAACGCCTCCAGCACCTCCAAGCACGAGCACAGACTGTCCCGCCCTCAACTTCGCCTTGTCGAATCCTTCCTGTGCCGTCTGGATCGCCAAAGGCAGGCTCGCCGCCTGGATGAAACTCAAGTTCCGGGGCTTGATTGCCAGGAGCTTCTCTTCCACCGCCGTGTACTGGGCGATGGATCCCCATTGTTTTGGCTTGTCCAGCGCAAACTCGGAGATGTCACCGTAGACTTCATCACCTTGCTTCAAGCTCGAGACTTCGCTTCCAACTTTGGCCACCACTCCAGCCACGTCGTATCCAGGAACAGTCTGCGAGAAAAGTAGCGCAAGACCTCATAAGTTGAAAGCACTTTGCTCAATCTTCGAAGAAGGAATGGGAGAGAAGAAGAAAAGAGGAGCAAACTTACGGGAAGGTCCGAGTCCGTGGCCTTGAATTTGCCCAATCGCCGCTTGAAATCCACGGGATTCAACGCGGCTGCGTGTACCTTGACGAGGACCTGGTCGGGCGCGAGCGGTGGGACTGGAAGCTCCTCCAGTTTGAGCACGTCCTTGGCAGCTCCATACTCTTTGTACACCCACGCCTTGTGAAGGGATGGGATTGCTGCCACCGTCGAAGCCATCTCGCCAATTTTACTGCTGCTGCTAGCAAATGTGAGAGTTGCCCTGGCTCGCTTCTTGCTTCGGCTGAGTTGCCCCACTGGAAACCACGGGGATTGAGAGACGCACACGGACTCCATAGCTAGGTCTGGATGCATCTAGAACTTTTCTCACCTTTAAACCCCTCCGTAGATGAGAAAGAAAAAAAACAAATGAAAAGCCACACCAAGACAATGTGGCATGTTTTAAAAGTTTTTCCCCTTGTAATCTCTAACACAAGATCCAGCTTTGGAGTACTGGTCGTGGCTGCTAGATGTGATGCTCAAGCTGACTGGAAAAGGATTCCGCTCTAGGTCTGGGGGTTGATTGCCAGGAGCTTCTCTTCCACTGGATCCCCACTGCTTTGGCCTGTCCAGCACAAACTCACCGAGACGAAAATGACAGCAGTTGGCTACATGACCGCCTAAAACCCTATCTAAATATCCTGTTTTGAAATTGTGGATAACTATCCAAACCAAATTAGTTATAAATGAGTTTGACTCTAAATTTAGGTGCAGTATAGAGAATAAGTTTGATGTCTAGTCAAGTTCCATGGCTTTCTCAATATTTGGATCATATACTTCTTCTGTGGGATTATTTGAATCTCTTTTATGAGGATTCTTCTCTCTTGCTTTTTAAGAAGAGCAAACGAGTTAGACATTGTGAATGTGGTTATTATTTAGAATTGCACCTTGCTTGTGTGTTAATTGCTCCAAAACTGGGTGGAACAAAAGTTTGATAATGATCCAATCAACATTTCTCAATCATCACATTGAAGAACAAAATTGATGGCTATTTTAAAACTTGTACAAAATTTTTGGGGTTAAATTATATATACAAAATCCATTTAATTTGGCAGTAGTGTCCTCATCTTCCATGGTCCCAAAAATTTAGAATGTCCAATCCAATTTAAAAGCTGTTTGATTAGATAATTCCTTTCTTATCTCTATTTTTAATTTCTTCTTTAGATCTCTAAGCCTTTTCATTATCACTAGGTGACATTAGTGCCAATTAATAGTTGATAAATCTTCTCTTAGGATCATCACACAGAAGGCTAAGTTGGTTAAAATAACAATTACATTTATTAATATTTTAGGACTCATTACAACAATATCATCTCTATTTTAACTTGCTTGCAGTCTAGTTTTATCTTGGAACCTTGTAGTGGATTGGAAGTACATATTATATTAATAAAGAAGATTATTCTCCCTTTTTAGATCCTCCTTTTATAGTTGTCTAATCAAAATATCTCATATCTCTTTGCATGAGTTTTGGAATTACTAAATTGTAAGCGACTAATTTTTCCATTTTACTTTAGTCATTTAATCACACCTTTAACCACTTAGAGGAGTCTCATTCACAACCTCCTCAAGTCCGATTCAAGACTTGGGACTTGCCCCGAGAATGGCATCCATGCCACTCATCCTTTGCACTTGGTCCAAGTGTCTATGGTCTATGGTGGCTAATACTAAGATTAGGATTATGATCTAACACTTGGATTTTCTCTGACGTGCTATGTAAAATGAGTCACCACAAGTAGATTACAGCTGACCTTTTGGCCTCAATATCCATAATGTTAGTAACTCTTTCAGACTTCGAGGTGATTATCAATTCCAGTTTAGGGTTAAACCCTAAACCCTACAGCTTTGTGAATCTGAGTTAGGCTTCAATGCATCAGTTGGATTGTAGACACTACAACTTATCTTGGAGGTACTCCATAACTTGCTTGTTTGTTTGCAAATGAGGATGATTGCACAAATGTGGTTTCATGTATGTGTTGCAGATGCAATTTCGAAAGACAAGGTCGTGGTGTACGATATGGAGGAATCCAGAATCAGCTGGGTGAAGCAAGACTGTAAGTGGATATAAGATTCCTTACGGCAGTCTCTCATCGCTCCAACCGCTTTACTCCTGTAGGTTCCAAGTACAAGGTAACATTGGGAACCTGAAGCTATCACTTTAGCAGTGAACCGAAATTGACTCCTTGTCAGCTGGGCTGGCATAACAATAAAAACTAAAGACCATTGCTTTCTCCACTGCATACACGTAGTGCAGTTGGCTCCCTGCTAATAAAGTGTGGATAATGGAGAAATGTCCATTTGGCAATCTAGAAACTTGTGGAGGAGCAGTGGCTGGACACTTGTTCACAAGAAATTCAAGGAGAAGGAAACTAGGCACACTTTAGGCTTCGTGCTGCAGATAAAAATCTGGATTTTGCCTTCCAGATAGGAAGTACCTGTAATGCGACGTCCCCATATTATAGTCTCCGAAAGGTTGACGCGGTCTTCAAATGGCAATGTTGTACAGCTTGTCAATTATGCAATGCACAACCAGATAAAAGCAAATAAGTGGCCCCTAATATCCTCAAAAGTTCAGGGATTATGAGGGTTCTACTGCAAACAGGTAGCTCTGGAGGAAGAATATCATCCAGTAGTTTTTCTGCCCCATCTTGTTCGTAAATGGCTATGGTGCTGACTCCTGAGAATTATATTGTCCCCATAGCCTCCGAAAGGTTCTTGACGTGGTCTTCAAATGGCAATGCATGTTTCCTAGGGCAACATATTTTGACCCGCAATATGTTCCATAGCTTGACTGGCAGGCAGGTACACCATAGCTTTCATAAACACAGTGGCTTTTCTTTTATTTTCTTTTCTCCAAAAACACTTGGTCTCTTTTTCCCGATGCAGACATGACTCTGAAAGACAAGGTCCCGAGTTGGCTGGTTGAAACAAGACTAGCAGCAATTTTAATGAAACCGGAAACGTGCATTGCTGACGGATCAGTGTGACCGCATCTTGTAAGTAAATGCCTTTTGTGTTTGTTGGGCAACCTCCACGATTTTTACTGGTCCGTTTAAATTTCTTTGTCTGGAGAGATGGTTCCAAAATTAAAATTTCTATGTCACGAAGCCTATGCTAAAAATGCAGCCAGGATTTCAGTGGGGCTGCATTCAAAAACTTCCAGCCTATTACTTAATACTTAAGCATTTAAGTGAAATGTAATAAAAGGAATATTTGTATCATTAAAAACTAATAAACTTACATAGGATTACAATGTTTTTAACCTTAATATCAAATTAACCTTTTAGCATACTTTAATTATCTAAATAACATATTTTCCTAAAGCTTGTGAGCATCAATCTAAACTCATTATAGTTTTTTTTATTAAATAGATTCAAATTAAGTTTGTTTATCTGGTTAATTTAATTTACATATTAAATAAAAACTATCCCTTGTAGGATCCATAGACTTGGCCTACATACAGAAGTGCGTCAGTTATACGAAGACCTAGGGATAACATTGAAGATTGACGCAAATGTTCGAAGGCTAGAAGCCAAATTTAATTAGCGTTGCAACCATGATTTATGGAAGTTCTGTTTTCTTGTAATCTAAATGCATTAAAACTGCAGAGCGAGTTGAGCCTCTCCACGTTTATGCGCCGTTCTTCTCACGTTGAATTTCTGTAGAAGAATCTTTGGTTTCTGGACCTTGCTTCCAAGGTCATTTCTTTCAAAGACTAGAAAGTCAAGATTGTTCCTCTCTCACATTCCGAAACCACAGGCAGTCGGACAACTTAAGGAATGACGAAGCAGCAGCGAATAACTTTCTCAACAAGAGTTTAGGGTTCTCCAAACATTTGAGGGATCAATGCTTCTGAGAACCAGACGATCATCTTTTCCATCTTTTGTTTTCTCGAAATGGCTCCACCGAACCTTCGCGTGTGAAATGAGCAGCTTTGTCAAGCTACTCATGGACTGTGTTGTTCCGAAAGGTTCTTGACGTGGTCTTTAGTGGGTGATGTATGGTAATGCATGTTCCCTCGTGCAACGTTTCCTGAAAATGCTGTTGCATAACTTGGCCGGCATAGCTTGGTCTTTTCTTTTTCTTTTTTTTTTCCCTGGAAAACACTTGGTCTCGTTTTCGCGACGCGGACATCACTCTGAAAGACAAGGTGATCGGAGCCGAGCTCTGGTTGAAACAGTAGCAGCAATCTTAATGAAGTTGGCTTTAATGTGGTTGCTAAAGAGCTTTTGTGTTTGCTGGGCAGCCAGGTCCACGATTTTCACTGGTGTTTCTTTCTCTCTCGAGATGGTTCCAAATCTATACAGTCACGACGGATTAAAAGCAGCCTATGCCAAAAATGCAGCCAACATTTCAATAATTCCAGCAGTTTGTGGGGCTGCATTTGAACAATTCCAGCAGTTGCACAGCGATGCTGGATAATCTTGAGGGAACTAGGCAAGATACGGAACAAGTCGCCCTGGGTCCGGTCTCAAAAGTCACATGTACAACCCGTTTTTAAGGAAAAAAAAAAGTCACTTGCAGGCACAACTCGATAAAAAAAATTTGACGCAGTACTTAAGAAATAGTGCAAGCTTAGAGAATTTGTCAAATGGGAGCTTGCATATATATGCTTTGAAATTTGCTGCAAATGGAGTTGCAGAAAAATGTCTTATTGGCTGATTATTTTGGTGTCCATCGGCTTGATGTCCTCTGTGAATGCAGGCGGATCCGGAGTTCTCAAACTTAAGCATCGATTCTCTGAGCTTGAAGGATCGAGCAAGCAGTCCGGGAAACGAGGAATGAGTGAGGAGCATTTTCGCCAGCTTATGGACCATACCCGAGCAAGGAGTCGACGCTTCCTTTTGGAAGTCGACCTCATGCTGAATGGAAGTTCCACTTCCGATGCGTAAGATTGGAATTTGTACCTTAAAAGGGTTTTGAGGTTAATTTTGTGTTCAAAATCTGTGCAGAACTTATTACGCTCAGATAGGTGTCGGGCATCCCGTCCAATTCCTGAATGCTATTGTGGACACAGGGAGCGATATCTTATGGTTCAAATGCAAATTATGCCAAGGTTGCTCCAGCAAAAAGAATGTCATTGTATGTTTTTAGCGTTCTACCTGGAAATTTTTTCTGAAGGTCTGTAGTTCTATCATCATGCAGGGTCCAATTACACTCTATGACCCGGAGTTATCAATAACGGCATCCCCAGCTACATGTTCGGATCCACTGTGTTCAGAAGGCGGTAGCTGCAGAGGCAACAACAACAGCTGTGCTTATGATATCTCATATGAAGACACCAGCAGTTCCACAGGTATCTATTTCAGAGATGTCGTGCACCTTGGACACAAAGCTTCATTGAATACTACTATGTTCCTGGGGTACTCCCCGACAAGCTTTTTTTTTGCAAGATTTGAACTAACGCTTCCTTTAGCTGTGCAACGAGTATTTCGGGACTTTGGCCGGTGGATGGTATTATGGGATTCGGGAGGAGTAAGGTTTCGGTGCCCAACCAACTTGCTGCTCAGGCAGGCTCATACAACATTTTCTACCATTGCTTAAGTGGTGAAAAAGAGGGCGGCGGGATTCTTGTGTTGGGTAAAAATGATGAGTTTCCTGAGATGGTCTACACGCCTATGCTTGCAAACGAGTACTAGCATTTGGAATAGTCCATCTTCGATGCTTGACTTCGGTTCTATATGTTTGCAGTATCGTGTATAATGTGAAGCTGGTTAGTCTTAGCGTCAACTCAAAAGCTCTCCCAATTGAGGCAAGTGAGTTTGAGTATAATGCAACAGTAGGCAACGGCGGAACTATCATTGACAGTGGCACGAGTAGTGCTACATTTCCCAGCAAGGCCCTCGCGCTATTTGTAAAGGCCGTAAGTGATTAGCTTGCTTCGTTAAGCACCGGCTTACTCACTTCTAAGAACTGCAGGTCTCAAAATTCACCACTGCAATTCCGACTGCTCCACTCGAGTCCAGCGGTTCTCCATGTTTCATCTCCATTTCAGACAGGTACGGATTAGTTTTATCCTGCACTTTATTTACTCCCAGGAACAGTGTGGAGGTAGATTTCCCGAATGTGACACTTAAGTTTGATGGCGGAGCAACCATGGAGTTAACTGCTCACAATTATCTCGAGGCCGTAGTTTCTCGAAAGGTACTTCGTCTGGTTCTCGTGCGTATCTCTTACTTACAGCTTTCTGAATCAACTCACTTTCAGGGGGTTAGGCTTGTATGCATCAGTTGGTCTGTAGGCAATTCAACTATCCTTGGAGGTACTCAGTAACTTCCTTGCTTAGTTGCAAAATTTTGGACCAAAATTGATTGCACAATTTTGGTTTCATGTATGCATTGCAGATGCAATTTTGAAAGACAAAGTCGTGGTGTACGATATGGAAAAATCCAGAATCGGCTGGGTGAAACAAGACTGTAAGTGGATATAGGATTCCTTACGGCAGTGTCTCATGGCTCCGACCGCTTTACTCCTGTAGGTTCCAAGTACAAGGTAACAATGGGAACCTGAGGCTATCACTTCAGCAGTGAACCGAAATTACCTCCTTGTCAGCTGGCATAACAATAAAAACTAAAGATCAGTGCGTTTCCAGACTCTCCACTGCATACACTTTATTAGTAGAAATGAATAAAGTGTGGATAATGAAGAAATGTCCATTTGTCAATCTAGAAACTTGTGGAGGAGCAGTGGCTGGATGCTTGTTCACAAAAAATTCAAGGCTAAGGAAACGAGGCACACTCTGGAACAAGTACAAGTTTCTTTGATTTCTGTACCTCTTATGCTTGTTTCATGTTTTTTTCGAAAACTGCTTCGTTCTGTGGATAAAAATCTGGATCTTGCCTTCCAGATCGGAATCGATAATGTACTGAGTTACATAACGATCCAAATGTTGAGGGACCACGTCTCCACCGCAGACAGTGATATACCTGGATATTCGTGGTATGTTCTTTATGCCCTTGTTTTCTAATGTATCCTTTATCCTTTAACATAAAAGATTAAAAAGATATGGCTTTCTCAACCTCTGCCTCGCCGGTGAGTATGCCTTTGCCAGCAGATGGAGTTGCATGGGCAACATTTCTTTTACAGCATGTAATGATCACGGGAGATGAATCCGTTATTCCACGATGCCTGGTTTGCATCCTGAGATGGATCGAGAGACAAATATCACAAGGAGTTGAAAATGCTTCTTCTGCAACTTGCATTCTGAAAGAAAACTCAAGAAAACTGTCCAAGTTGTTTCGATTGGCCAATGAAAGAAAAAACATCAACAACACATTTCGTTGGGGGGACGTGGTAAACTTTTGACAGTTAACCCGCATCGGCCGGATCGGGCGGCCCAAAAAGTTCACTTCGGTAACTCCTTTCAACTCCTTTTTAGTAGATAATCAAAACACAATCACAAACTAATGCCTATATACCTGCGTCAGCCAAATTCTGGTAGCGTGGGTAATTTTATTATCTCTTCATCTTTCATCTTCGTCGCACCTTTCGCTTAGCAAGAGCTCTTTTAGAAAAGGGAGGGGAGAAGAGAGAGAGAGAGAGGAAATAAAGCAGCACTTACGAGTTGATAAGTACCCGACACTCGTCGCTCGCTCGCTCCAGAGCCTTGCTGCTGGTCGCCCCACCACGCCTCTCGACGGACAGCGCCCAACCTTCTGGATCCATCACGCTGCTCTGGCTTCGCTTGCTTCGTTGCCAGCCGCATTGCCGCTCTGGTCGTTCGCGCCCCCAACATCCAGCTTACACAGCGGACAGGACGCATTGATCTTGAGCCACTTATCTACGCAATCCACATGAAAGTGGTGCGTACACGAGAGCTCTCGCAATGGCTCCCCATCCCTGTATCTAGCAAGACATATGCAGCACACCTGCATAGATTACGTCAGGGAGGAGAGACAGAGATAAACTATAGGACAGGCTTACCGCATCATCGGCTGACACGGCACGCTCTTTGTCGGTGCCTGCCGCTACGAAGCCACCCTCATTTGATCCTTCACTATCAGATTCGCTCCCGTCTTTACTCTCGCTCGATGGCCTAGACTTGAACTTGTATGTCGGTAAGGCCGCAATGACCTCGGCGCTCGCGCCTCTATTCTGTGCTTGCTCCTCCCGGAAGCCGAGCAGTGCGATTATGCACGGCAAGCAGCAACATATAGTCGCGCACAGAATAAAGGGCATGGCGTATCCAATGCAGCTAAAAGTAAGGAAAACAATACACAACCTGCCGAAACAGGAAACAAAAATGATGAGGCACAAGCAAAGCGCAATGTGTCTCCATACCTGTACAGATTTGGCGCTTCGCGGGACGAGGAGTGTCCGCCAAATATCCACACGTTCCCAACGACGAACCACACCGCGAAGAAGCAATCCAACGCAATCTTGAACTTCTCCACCAGCCTTCCAACACTGATGAATAGATTAGTCGAAGAACAATAGAGAAAAGTATAAAAAAGACAGCAAAAGGAAGCACCATACCCCGAATTGTCACTCGCGGAATCCACGTCCCTTCCTCGGGACCGGGCCCGAGGCTCCACCACCTCCGTGGAAGCCGACGGTATGTTCAGCGCGACGTAGGACGTCCCCCTCGGCGATGGCGGAAGGCTCTCTGCGGATGGCGTAGACTGCGAGGGAGACTCATGTTGGTCGTGAGCTTGAGTCGTCCCATTCCGGTGGGTGTAGCGCCAGTAGAGAAGCGGAAGCGTCGCAAGGCAGCCGGCGGCATAGCCCGCAACCCAGACCGAGAGTGGAGCCTGCGGCTTCTCGTCCCTGGAGAGCGAGAGGACGATGATAGACGCCACGATCTGGCTCACCGTGATGGTCAACTCGATGGAGATCCAGAGGCCCGAGTTGAGTGGACTGATTCTCTGCCTGGGGATTGAGTAGTTGCGAGTGGATCGCGACGAGGATGAGCTGCTGGAAGGGGGAGCGGTGGCAGCGTCCCCATTCCTTTGTGACAATTGTCCTTGTTGGAGGTGTTGATGGTGCTGTGCATTCCCACTGTTGGAAGCCTCGGGCTCTACGTTGACGACGCTGTGCTCTGGCGCCGCCGACGATGAGTGCTGCTCCATCAAGAGAGGATACGTATCTATGTGGCGAGCGTCGGCATCCGAGTTCTCATCCATGGAACTCCGCCGGGATCCTCCTCTCACCCTCTCCGATGCATAATCCTGTCCTGCTGTCAATGCCTCCTTTCCTAATCATCTACGAGCTCTCGCACAGCTTTTCCCGGTGCGCGATGACGAGAAATCCTAGAAACAAGGGGAGATTTCTTCCCACACCTTTGCAACACTTTGGATCTGGCGGTCGATTGCGCGCCGCCGCCGCTGCGTCACGCGCAAGGAGGAGGATCGCCGCGCCGCACCGCTCCAAGCTCCATGGCCTGGCCGCTAGAGCGCCATCGCCATAGGGTTTGCTCTCTCTCCCTCAATGGCAATCACTGTGCGCAATGGAAAGGGTTATTTTTCTTCCCCGTGTCCCGCTTGGCTACGTGTGAATATCAAGAAAAGTAACCACCATGAGATTCGATCCCTAGGTCGATCGCATTTCAAATTCTCGCGAGGGCTAGAATGGCGATGGCGGCAGCGGCGGCGATGGCGATGGCGCTGTCGCGGGCAATGCCGCTGCTGGAATCTGCGGCCGTGCTGTAGGTGAGCAATGGCCGATCGATCGATTGCCGCGAGGCGCTGTTTTTTCTTGCAGCTTCGATCGATCGATCGAGAGGGATCTGCGATTATTTAGCATCCACCGATCGGCGCATCAGCTTTTGCAGCAGCGATGTCGAACGTGTAAGATTTCCTTCGCGTGAGAGTTTTTATTTTGGTTGTTGCGGTCAGTTTCTTTGATCAGCAATGGGAGATTGCTATGCGGCAGCTTGTCGATGTTCTTGCGATTGAAGTTCCTTCGTTTTCTTTCTTGGGGCCCCAGGTATGTCATGCTTACCCGGGATGAAAGAAGTGACCTCTTACCCCTCGCAGAATTTGTCCGATTATTCTCGGATATATATCAAGTACTATCAAGTATATAGAATGCTGGAGGATTGCTATCATCAGGTATAGTACTAATGATTATAAAACAAGCAGATGAAACTATTCGGCTCTTGTTTTGTGTGTAGATCATTCACCCTCAAAAGCGCATCGATTGCTTGAAGTCCTTGGAGGCGGTAATTGGGAGAATTCTCGAGCTAAAACATGTAAGCCCGTTCGCGACATATCTCTGCATGCTGCTTGAAACTTGGCTTTTAGTGGATGGTGTTTCTGAACGCCGGGAAGGAGATTATTTACCTGGAAGACCTTTTGGTAAGCCGGATGAGTTTTTTTTTTTTTATTCTCAATTTACTAAAGCTGATGCGTGGAAGTTCAGCTGAATTTGGAACTGACTCCCGATGCTCTGGATGTGGTTCCGCCTCGTCTTTTGACTGCTGACAACCTCCGGAATCTTGAAACACGAGACAATTTCTTGGTTGCTTTCTATACTATTTTCATTTATCTTATTTCAGTTCTCGCTCATACGACATTGTCTTATAGATCAAGGTCCTGCAACAAGAGAAGGAACAGCACGAACAAGAAGGCTCTGCCGATTCTCAATCACCAGATAGCAAGTTCCCTGTCTATACACCAGAGGAGGCAATTGCAATATTACAGGTAAGCTATTTACTTTAAAAAAATCACGTGAATAGTAGCCTTTTATGCCAGGCTAATGAACGAGGCAGGCAAGCACGTCATAGACTTGCTACTTTGGCCAAGACACGGTATGTTAATCATGTATCATGATACACATAACTGAGCAAACCGTTTTTAGATTCACACAAGAAGAAGCTTTGAAAAAGCAACAGGCAGGTCACGAACCTTTAACTCAAGAAGGTGCTGCAGTTGTTATGCAGTCCGCGTATCCTTGAATGTGTACGAGCGCTTCTTTTTTGGCACTTTTTCCTTTACTGTGCAAAAGAGCCCGAGGATTTCTAGAAAGGTGTCGGGTAAAACATTCGGCTGAAGACGAGCTTACTCTACTCGGTACATTCTTTCCGAGGGCGCTCTCTACCTTAAGGGGGAAAGTAGTGAAGTTTATGGTTGTCGTGTAAGCTTTCTAATAGTATGTTCTTTGCAGAAATGAATATGTATGAGCGCAACAGCGATCGGGACTACGCCTTCGGTTTTATGAGAGAAACAGAATTGAGAAGAAGGAAGAACCAGCTATTGAGCTATCAGGAATACCAGGACGCAATGGCACTTGCAAAGGAGCAGATTAAAGAGCTGGAGGGACAAGAAATGAGGGAGATAATCCAGGAGAAAATAAACGCATGGCTTAACGCGAACAGAGATCCGGATACTGGCTTGTTTCCGCCCTTTCCAAAGCCAGCTGACGGTGGGAGTAAACTCATAGTCTTTCCGCCGCCAAAGTTCGACTTTGAAGTCGAAACTAAGAAGAAGAAAGATGCTAAAAAGGACGACAAGAAGAAGAAAAAGAAAAAAGCCAGTCCATTTCCTCCGTTGGTGTTCCCTGTGGACGACGAGGAGAAGCCTCCATCGTGTCCTGCATTTTTTCTGCGACACGTACGAGAATCTGTGGATGTTTACACTCATAGCTGGCATGACAAAGACGACTCGGCGAATTTGGCTCAAAAACATGACACTGACAGACTAAAAGGACAGCTTCGACCGATGGTGTTCGAAGAGGTAGGCTCGTAACTACTATTTTTTTGAACATGAAAGTATCTGACTTGTGCTTGCAGATAAGACTAGAAGTTGATCAAAATACACGAGTAATTCTCGACCGAGTCAAGAAAAAAATACTCGCGGAGCTCAAAGCAGCCAGGAAAAAGCAAAAGAAGGGTGCCAAGGAAAAGAAGAAAGAGAAGAAGAAAGACAAAGACAAGGATGCGCCGCCCCCTGCCAAAAAGAAGCCTAAGAAACCGAAGGATCCGACAGCTCAAAGAACAATCGAATCCATATACTCGGAACTTGTGAAAAACGGGATTGTCCAGCTTCTTCCCAAAAGAGAGCTGTCGGATTATGTTTCTACGGAAACTTTCTATGGTCCAACGTTTGAGGTTGATCCGACTGGGTTTGATCCCACCACAGCTCAGGTGATTTTCGAGTTTCAGATTCATGACAATCTTGCATCCTTTCCTTTTCTCGTGTCCAGGTAAAGAGAGCAGTTGTGGAGTATTGTATCATGCCTCTCGTGTCGGACTTTGTGCATCAGAATGCTCCGTATATAAAGTCAGTCCTTCTTTACGGGGCAGAAGGCAACGGGAAAACTCTACTGGTATTTTATATTCATCAAAGTTGTAGTGGCTTGAAAAGTTCTTCAGGTACACGCATCGGCACGGGCTGCTGGCGCAGCATACTTCAACTTGTCCCCACAAGTGCTGGATGGAAAATATCCTGGGAAACAAGGTCCCAAGATGCTTCAAATGGTTTTCAAGCTTGCGAGAATAATGGCACCTTCGGTGGTCCATATCTCTGGTGTTGAAAAGGTCAGCAAAGTTTCTTTTTTCTTTTTCCATCCCTGTAGAACGCCACTAACTTCACTTCAATTCCAGCTTTTCGTAACGGATCGGAAAAAGATAAAGACATGGGGCCTCAAGGACAAACCAAACAGAATTAAGAAAGCTCTTACCAAAGAAGTTAAAAACATTAAACCGGGAGAACGAGTTCTCTTCCTCGGGACATCCTCCAGACCACAGGTAATGTCAAACTCGCTGGAAATCTCTAATGCGAATAGCCGTGCAGGATGCGCCTGGGAAACGACCTGTGTTCCCGAATTTTTTCACCAAGAGGATTTACGTTCCATTTCCCGATTATGGATCAAGGTCGAGGATATGGCGAGCTTTGATCGAGAGGCACGGCGGTGTTGTGACGGAGCAATTCAACTTGTCCACAATCTCGCAACTTAGCGATGGTTTCAGCGTTGCCTCCATTGAGAAGGTTTGCAAAACGGTCCTGACGGAGAAGCGCAAGCGAAAGGTAGCCAGACTTTCTCCTTGTTTCTCCTTCTCGATGGATTCACGCTCGAAACTGTGAATGTAGCTTCGAAGATTTCCACTGACTATCAAGGAAGTTATAAACGACGTTCACAGCACTAAGCCGGTCGATCCAGCATTCCATGAAAGCCTTCGAGTAAAATTTCTCTTTTTCATATTTCTCTCCAATGAAAGTTCTTTCTTTTTTTCTCTCGCAGGAATGGGCCAAACCGAAGAAACCAGCCGACAAAAAAGGTGGCAAAGACGCCAAAGGGAAAGGAAAAGGCAAAGGGAAAGGAAAGAAGAAATGAAAAATTTCGCTTATATTTGAGATTTGCCAGCTATAATTGCAAATAGGGTTAGGGTTTGCGGGAAGTGGAGAAGGCGCAGAGCTGGATTCGCGAGGCGCTGGCTCCCGGTGAGCCGCGAGGGTGAGAACGCAGGGATTCCTATGACACTGTAGAGCGACGCCAGTGATTTCCCAGTCCAGCGGCGTAGCTATGGCCGGATCTGAGGCGCAGGAGGCATCTTGCGCATCGGCGCTGGTGTCAGCTATGGAGAATTTGGATGTGAAACAGGAAGATGGAGATCGGGAGGAGCTAGCTAAGCCGGAGGAGAAGGATTGCGAGGCGGATTTGGAGAGCAAGCGACAGGAACAGACAGTGGAGGCGAGCGCAGGTAAAGATTCCACGAATGTAGTCGTGGAGAAAGAGGCCGAGAGCTCGCATGGGATTTCCAAGGAGGAGGGAGATGCTGTAGGCGGGGATGATGAAGATGGCAAGGTTACCAAGGAAGAAGAAGGTGATAGTGTGGATAACAAGGAAGAAGGCGGTGGAAGTGCTGTGGGTAGTACTGCTGGATCCGACAACAAGGAAGAAGATGGAAGCAACTCTGCTGGAAATGACAATGATTTACCAAAGCCAAGCCTGGAAGACAGTGAAGCTGGAACAGACAAAGGTGACTCCGATCCAAAGGATCTATTGCGGCCTTCTGGTGATGTCCATGTCGTGATGAACGCCGCCACGCTTATGGAGAAGCTAAACATCGCCGAGAGCAGTGATGGAGGAAGCAATGGTGGCGACGACGATTTGAGCAGCAGCGTGGACAGCACTGCCAACAGTGGGCCTCGTCTCGTGGAGGGCGATGGCGATGCAGCCTCGCAGGAAGATAAAAGTGAGGACTGCTCCGAGGAGGGGTCCGTTCGACCGAAGAAACGCATCGATCTCCAACATCAGTTTGTGCGAGGAATTGTAAGTATTCTCGTTCTTGGTTTTCCTCTTTTCTAACTCCTGAGTGCTTTTCCAGGTGAAGATCCAGTACGACAGAGATCAATACGAAAAGCAATGTCAAACGAAGAAGCATGAGGTAAAATCACAGATGCTAAACTGTGATAAAATCGTAGTTTCTCTCCAGGAAAGGGACGTGAAAACACCTGACAAGATCAAACCAGACGCCAGCGCAAGGAGAACAAGCTCTTCTCGCTCTTCTCCACGGTCGCCACCAGTTCAAACTAGCAAGAGGCAGTTTTCGTTTGTGGACTCTCCTCCAGCGAGGCCAAGCGTTAATGCTAGCGAGGATCAACAGGTTGAGAAGAACAAGCACGATCGATCCACCGCAATATATCGGCCACCAAGCCTTCGCAATGTTGACACGGACAAAACTCGGTCACTTCGCAGTCACGAGACAGATGGAGGTCGATCTACTCGCAATGCCGAGGCAGATTCAAGCCGGTTTACTCGCCATACAGAGGCCGATACGGCTCGATCATCCGCAGCATCTAGCCGAAGTAACGCATTGAAAGCAGGCTCTCCAGCTCCAGTGGGAAAGTCGCCGGGTCACTCAAAGGAGTTGGACAGGGAGGTTTTGCCGGAGGACGTGAGTATCAGAGTTACCTTCGACACTGAGAAACAGAAGAGACGGATCCAACTCTCCAAGCCGTCGGGTTCACAGGGAAAGGAGGAGAAAAACAACTTCATTGTCACTTTCGACACGACCAGGAAGGAAAGACATATCGAGATGCCAAGCTCAGCTCGCGGTGTGGGTAAGAGCAGCAACCACGATCCTCCTCCCAGCGCGGTGGAGGTGAGAGACAGGTTTTTTGGAGACGGGCTCAAGCGCAGGGACAGTGGCGATCTTCCAGCGTCTTTCGAATTCAAGGCCACGGCGTTTGGGAAAGGCCCGAGCGATGAGACCAGAGCCGCCGGAGACAACGCCTTCGGCAAGAGACCCGGCCGAGGGAGCAACAACACCAGGTCGTCCCGTGGATCCAGAGCCTCGGGAAACGTTCGCGTGTTCGAAGTTGGCGCGAGGCCGAGGCACCCGAGCGGCGGCAACGACACCACCAACATCCTGGAAGTAAACTCGTCGAAGAGAAACGAGGAGACACCGCTACCGCTACCACCAAAGGACAAGCCATTCGCGGCGGAGCTCAAGTGGGGGGATATCGTGGAGTCGGAGACGGAGCCGAGCCCGACTCCCAACGCGCACGACTCGTTTAGCAGCAGCCCAGCTCCGGACGTTTTGGAGTCCAACCAGTGGCACAACAACGGCCAGACCAGCTCCAGCGGCGGGCGTAAGTCGTCCTCGAGGAAGCACAGGCAGAAGAAAGAAGCGCCGCCGCCTCGCCAACCATCGCCGCCGCCGCCTCGTCAACCACAGATCGAAAGCCCGGACTCGCAAAACGCTCCCAGACGAAGTGTGTGGGAGAGACTGGGCCCGAGGCCGGCAATGGAGGCTACGCGTTTGAGGATGGCACAATACGAGAACAACGCAATGGCGAACAGCTTGGAGAACTTTCGCGAGGCAGCCGAGCGCGACTACTTGGAGAGGCATGGTTTCGGCGAGCCGTCGGTGCAGGCGGCTTACAAGGACACGAAGCAGAAGAGATCGAGGCTGGAGCTTTACGTGCCTCGACGGGGAGGATCACAGGCTTGACAACGAGCAAGGCACAGGTTTTTCTTTCTTTTTTCTCTTTTGTTTTTCTGCTGCTTCCCTTGCGAGGACTATATATGCCGAGGTAAGGCGCGTGAGGGGCTTTTTCTTTCTTTCCTTTATATATATGATTCAAGCAAGGCTCACGGACGGACGTGTTGCAGGCAAGACACAGGATTTACAAAGGTTGTAAATACATACCAGATTATTTGATGGACTTTCGTGTTTCCATTATTATTGTGAACACAACACAATCTGTGTAAGCTTTTCTTTTTCTTCTTTTCATCTTAATGGAAAAAACAAAAAAGATGCTTTTGTAAGAAACATCTTGTGTTACCAGAAGGCCCGAGCTGCGGAGCCGTGAAGAAAGAGCTGTGTTTGCCAGCCTCGACTTTTAAGCTGCGAGAGAAACTCTGGTAGCATCTTGTCGACGCGGGAGTAAGCGTCGCTCAGTGAGGCTTCTTTCGAAGAACACGCTGCTAGAAGCCATCCCCGGACGACGTCTTCGCCACTGGCCGAGTGATGCAGCACCATCTCCGTAGAAGTCTCGTGGAAGTCCAGAAGAAAGCGCTCGCTCTGGAACCTGTGTTTGAGCTCTCTGATCTTGCCGGATGGGATTTGGAGGATGTCGTTCGCGATCCGGACGCTTCCGGCGTGGACGTTTGGTTTCACAGGCAGTATCAACCTTTCCCTGTAGCGTATCTCGGCCGGAGAAGGAACTCTTCCTAGCTGGCATTCATCGCTTAAGCAAAAGTCTCTGGGACATAAATATTTTACGAGAGTACCTCGAGGTAGTCCGCGACGAGCATTGCTGTTCGCTGGGCATTAAGAGTGTCGAGTGGAACAGCTCTCATTTCCTCCATCACACTGTATAAATGAATCACGGACAGAAGAGGTGCTACAAGAAGCTGTGAAAGAAAATTTAGAGAGAACTCACGCTCACAATTCATACCTTTCCTTGTAGAGAAGTACAGGCCGATGATGCCAAACGAATGCCGACTCCAAGCCCAGCCACATTTGCAAGAGTTGACATAGCCTCACCTTTAGCGTACAAGTCACTAAGGTTCCCTTCTTTCGCAAAAGCGGTGTAAAGAGGCAACCGTGTTGCTCTAGCCGTTACCATTGCCACTCCCTGAAAGCACCATCATTTTTCCACACAGCTTTAAGAGTTCGAGTACCTTTGCAAGGTTTGCGAGTCCGGCAACTCCTAGAAAATACTGGGGACATGCTGGTGAAATTATCTCCAGCGCAGTACCCGCGTCGTACAAAACATCGGCTGCAAAAGAAAAAGAATATAACTTATGAAACTCGAGAACAAAACGCATACCAACCAAAAATTCTCCATCGTTTTGGCTCGGAGTCCATTCTAGCTCCCATTCGACTTCCAACAAGCTTTCCAATGTGCTGCATTCCATCCTTGAGAACCTGGATATCAATCCAGCCATCACTTTTTAGCCATCCCTTGACAAAACTTTGCTCCTCGCTCCTCACTTACCCAGCTAATCACAGTCGCTTGGGCAGGAGTCGGCCTTAAACCAGCGGCAAACACGAGTGACTGAAAAGAGGCAAGTTAGAAAAAGGAACAGGACAAAAAAGACTCTAGCGAGAGAAAAAAAAATCTCGGAAGAACCTGTGTGGAGAAAACTGAAAGAATCGCACTGGAGAAATGCTGCAGCGCACGGAACTGCGAATACGTAAGGTAGCCTTCTCCCACACTGCACTGCTCCAACCAGCTCAATTCAATCTCGAAAGAAACGAGCAAAAACAAAAAACAAAAAAAAAGACAGAGAGAAAATGGGGCTCTTTCTCACCTCTGTGGATACCCCACAGGAAAGAATTGGTCAAGAAATCCATCGACAAGCTTGTGCTTGAGCGGCCGATTATCGTCCAGCAGTCGCGCCTGGAAAAATCGCTAAGAAAATTAGTCGCCGGGATGCACTGAAATGGAAATCTCACCTGGAGAGTGCCATCGCCTTTGGACACGTACTCGCGCCTCGCATTCTCGGAGCGCTCCCGCCATAGCTCGCCCATAAACCTCCTCTGTTTCTAGGGCTTTTATAACCAGTCAGCTTTGATTTAAACACGCGTACCATTCTCGATACAAATCTAGCAAAATCCAGCCAAGTTCTACAGCAAAAACTCACCGATCTTGTCATGGAAAGAGCGCATTTACGAATGCCTCGGCATCAAAGGGTTGCAAATCTTCCAGGCCTTCTCCAACACCAACGAACTTCACGGGAATTCCAAGCTCATCTACAACACTAGCCTGCGCAAAGTTTCCAGGGAAAAGAAACAAACTCTCAGCTGAGAATTTTTTTTAAAATCGAGGACATACCACACATCCGCCTCTTGCAGTTCCATCGAGCTTCGTTAACACAAATCCAGTAACACCAACAACCTGAAACAAAGTATTTGCGTTAGGAAAAACATCTCCAAACAGATTGTTTCTTACGTCGTTGAACTCTCTCGCTTGAGGAAGCATATTTAAGCCTGTTGTTCCGTCGAGGACCATCAGCACCTCCTGCGAGTTTGTGGTGTTAAACGGATACAATTGAAGCATCAACACTCACATTTGGGGCTCCGGCAAGAGCCTTCCCGATTGCTTTCTTGCAGTCTTCAAGCTCATCCATCAAGCTGAAGTTTGTGTGAAGACCTGTGAAAGGAAGAAAAAGGAGATTAGATCTTGAAACTGGAAACAACAAGCTAGCTTACTTACGGCCTGATGTATCTGCGAGAACTATGTCGAACTTCTCTGCGACTGCCCGTTTTACAGCTCGTGACAACACTATATTGAAATCATATCACAATGAACGATAAGCGATAAAAAGAAAAAAATCAGGGAGATTGTCGGCTCGTACAACTTACCAGGGGCTGGTTTCTTTTGTCCCTCTTCAGCTCTTACAATATCCGACTCGGTTCTCTCTGCCCATACTTCTAGTTGCTCCTTGGCTGCAGCTCTAAACGTATCACCAGCCGCCATGAGTATCTGCAAACCTTACGTGTGAGCAACTCTATAATTTACAAAGCTCTCACCTTTACACCTTTCTCCTTCTTTAATCTGTGTGCCAATTTTCCTGTTTCGCTTCAAGCAATCAGAAAACAAAAAACAGACATGAATTTAGATGTGAAAGAGCGTACCTATGGTTGTTGTCTTCCCTCCTCCATTCACACCCACGACCATAATCACAGCGGGGCGTCTGGCATCAAAACAATGGAAAAAAAATTCTATGAGAAAAAGAAAATCGTCGAAAAAACCTGGTCCCGAGCTTGAGGTCGGTGCTACCGGCTCTGCTCGTAAGAAGTTTCACAATACTTTTCTTTAGCGCAAGCTTTAGAAAAAAGAAAAAAAACCAGAAGTTACTATCTCGCGTTTGCAGATCAATTTTCTCACCTTGATTTCTTGTCCAGTTTTGAGCTTTGCGGCTAGAACATCCTTGCGTAGACCATCCACGATTTTGATCGCTGTTCTCGGCCCAAAGTCTGATATGAGCAACGCCTGCATAGGTATTATCAAAAGAAGAAACAAAAGCAAAGAAATTCCATTCCATACCTCTTCCAGTTCATCCAAGAGCTTCTCAGCATCGGACAGATTCCAATACGTCAGGAGCTCGTCCACGACTGCCAGATTCTCCCGCGTCTTGGAGAATCCCGAGAAGAGGCGATCGATGTCGCTCTTGGCCTTCTCCTTGAACACGCGCCCCAGCTTCCCGAAAAACCCAGCCTTGTCGCTGCTACTGCTAGCGCATCTCACCATCAAAACCGCTGCATTCTTCCGCGGCCGCCCGCTCGCACTGAATTGCACCACACCAGCAGCGCTCGCCAAGCTCCCCCGCGCAGCTGCCGCCATAGCTCCTCTCGCCAAGCCCTAAACCCTCTTTCCCGCCATTAACTTTAAACCCTTAAACCTTTAACAACGCTTTTACCCTGTTTTTTAGGGTTCTTCGTTTTCAGGGTTTTCTCGGATGCTCGCCATCGATTCATGAGTCTGCGGCAGCCGCTGAGCAAAATCTTGAGCTCCAATCGCCCTCCCATGCGCTTGGACACATTCCGCAGCACCAGCTGGGCATCGTCCTCCGTCTCCAAGCTCCGCAGGAATGTCTCTTCGTCGCGCCAGGTATTCCTCGTCACATCACAGGACAAATCCAGGGAGCTCGGCAACGGCCCACATTCCAGCGCCGCGGCGGAGCTCTCGACACTGGCATCAATCGGCCCCTCGTCGGAACGCATCAACAATGCTGCAAAGATCGATGGCAGCCGATTTAGAAGCGCGGGGAATGTGGCATTCAAGGAGAACAACGCTCCAGACGTCCACCTAGCTCCCAAGCCACAGAGAATCTCCCCGCCACCGCCGCCGCTCGCCGACAAGCCGAGCGCCGCTGGTGGCGATGGATTCTTCCACTCCAGGGCCTCTCAAAGACCCGACTTTCGTGGATTACCTCTCAGGGACAGGCTCCAGATTGCTCGGAGAAGGCGGCCATACCAGAACTTCCGTGACCCGGGAGCAGCAAAGAATCCTTCGTCTTCTTCTCCAAGTAGCTTCGATCTAATCGTAGCGAACAGGCTCGCAAACGCTCCACCGCCGCCTCCAAAAGAGACCACCGATACCTTCTCGCCGCTCGTCAAGGCCATCTTCGATCTCCTGGATCAAGCTCCACCGGTGGAACAGCCTCCAAAACCAGCTACCGAGCTAGAGCTTGACAACGCCACCGCCGCCGCCACGACTTCTCAGGCACATCAAACATACTATCACAGGCAGAGACACAAGTACCGGGTCTACCAGCAAGCTTTCAACACCGGTGACCCTCGATTCGACTCCTTGGGAAGAACACTGTGCCGGATCCTCCGCCACCAGGCCACGCAGCTGAGCCTCCCGATCCGGAGCAATGGCTACGTGAAAGTTGACGACATCCTCCGGCTGACGATCCGGACGCACGCCGGGATCCCCATGAACGAGCACTCGGTGGAGGAGGTCCTCCGGGTGGTGGAGCGCGACCCCAAGCAGCGCTACTCCACCATGGTCGAGGGCGGCGAGCTCTTCATCCGGGCAAACCAGGGGCACTCGATGAAGGTGGTGGCGTCGGACGCGCTGCTGACGGAGATCACGTCCGCGGATCAAGTGCCGGTGTGCGTCCACGGCACGTTTCGGTGCTTTTTGCCGAGCATCATGCGGACGGGGCTGAATCGGATGAGCCGGAATCACGTCCACTTTGCGATTGGGCTGCCCAACGAGGAGGGAGTGATCAGCGGGATGATGGACAGTGTGGAGGTTTTGATCTACCTCAATGTGGCCAAGGCGCTCCAGGACGACATGAAGCTGTATATATCGGACAACAAGGTGCTGCTCACCGAGGGCTTTGCGGGGGTCGTGCCGTGCGAGTATTTTGAAAAGGTTGTCGAGTGGCCGACCTTTACTGTGATCGCGTGAACTTAAAAAGGCCCTAGATCTTCTTTTCCCCTTGTATTTTCTTTGCTAGAATATTCGAGGGTTCCAGGCCAACCCTGGAATATAATTTTTTTTTTTTTTTTTGTGATTGAGAATTAATATACTTGCAGGCAAAGGTTGTAAACTAATATATTTGCAGATAAAAGTTTGAGGGTGAAAAATATATTTTGTTTTACTTTAAAATTATGAATAATATAATATTGCTGGTTTATTTTAAACTTTACTACGAAATTTTTATTTCATTTCTACTTAGCTAAAAAATTCTAAATTTTTAATATATTTTACATTTGTGTTTTATTATATCATGGTAGTTACTGTGAAATTTTATGTAAACTTTTTGGAGTTGAGTATTTTAAAAATTCATAAAAGTGTTGATGATTAGCTTTTAAAATTTTATTCAATAAAGAATATATATATATGTTTATTTAAGTATGTTACTATTTTTTTATTTTTGATCTAAAATAATTTCCTTCCATTTATTGTCTAGGTATTCTTGTCATACTCTTTGATTAAATCATAACTGTTTCTTTTTAAAATTATAATTAATTAAACAGTTAAAATACTATTATCTATAGAAATTATATATTAAATAGAAAATATTAATTTTTATGTTACTAAAAAAATTACAATGTTTTCTATCTTTGTGTTTTTCTTAACATAATCAATTTTTATATCTTTGTTTAGGTTGATTTCATTCGTTTTATATATATATATATATATATATATATATATATATATATATATATATATATTTATTTATATATATATATATATATATAAAATCACACTATTGAAGGTTGCCAAATCAAAACTATGAGAGAATTATTTTGTTATTTTTTATCAAAAAAATTTGCAATCTGGGAATATAAATTGAATCAATAGAAGGTGATAACCCAAGAATATGCACATCTATTTTAAAAGATTCGTGTGAATTCATAAATGTTAGTAAAAAGCATATATATTACCATTACCCCATAATGCATTTATTAGGTTTACACTTTGAATCATTTATTTTAAGCAATAACATCCTTACTAATGCCTTTAACTTATTCAAATATTTACTATTAAAATTATTAATGCTTACAATTAATAAGTAGATATACCACATTAAAATCACATTAAACAAATCTAATATTAAATGAAAAATTTTACATTAAATCTAAAAATTATATTATATTGTATTTAATATAATTATGATGTGTATAAAAGAGATTACATAATTTAATATCTAGTATGAATAACTTTTTTATTATAAACTAAGTTCACTTGATTTAATATATTTGAACTAGATAATACTGTAACTATTATAATTGCCATTGTGTGTACGGCTACGATGCCATATACTAATATTAGCATAGTAGGATTTTGGTAACTGTTGGATTAATTTCAATCCGAACCATTCACTCTTGTATATAAGTTAGTTTTTTTGGGCTAATTGATATGCATATTTTCTGTATTCCCTTTTCATATTCCATATTCACATTAGTGGAGATGAGGGGCACCTTTGATTGTCCTTGAGGAATGCTTGGATTTGGGATTTTGGTTTAAATCTAACTTTTGCATCGTTTAAATCTAATTTTTTCCATTTCCTTTCTTTTATTCTTTTCTTTCAGGATTTTGGTTTGAATTTAACTTTTTTACATTGTCTAAATCTTCTTTTCCTTCTAGCTCTTTTTCATTTCTCTTCTTTTGTTCTTTCCTTTTCGTTCATCTTCATGGTAGATCAGCAATCTCCTCCTCCTTTGACTCTAGAGTAGCAGTTGGTTCAATTACTTGATGCTATGCAATTGCAATTGAACAACCAAACTCAGTTGATGGTGGCATTTATGGCACATGGTACACCTCCTCTTGCTCTTGGTGCCAATCCTCACGTTTGGCTAAAGTTCTTTCGCAGGAATCTTAAAGATGATATGTACTATTGATTTGATCACTTCATGGTGATTGCCATATATCATTCTTGGGATGATGCTCAATGTTTGCATGAGTTTCCCACATATCTCCAAGGGATAGTGTTGCAGTAGTACAATGGTTTAAGTGCAGCCACTCGTGGGGATTGGAGTGTTTTCCCGAACATTTTCAAACGTGCATTCAGACATACTGACAATTGTGATGATGCATTCTAACAATTGCATCGTTTTCGTCAAGGGCCATCTAAGTTGGTGATGCAATTTGGCGTTTATTTTTTAAGCCTCTTGCTTCGTGTGGAGCCATATGTCGGAGTGGATCAAGCTAGGAATGTTGTGTCCAATACTTCATTAAGATCTTGTCGGACTTGTGTATGCACTCGCTCCTGCCACCCTTAACGATGCTCTTTGCTTGGCCCAACATTATGAAATGTCACCTCTTCCACTTCTCATTGCATGTCTTTCAGCTTCACTTCCTGTGGGTGATGGTCATGTTCCAATGGAGGTTAATGTTGTTGCTGCTCGAGTCCAACAAAGGCGAGGCCGTGGTCATGGCCATGATGTTCATTGTTGGGCGTGTGATGAAGTTGGTCACACTTATCAGCATTGTCAGCAATGTCCAGATTGACAGCCACCATTTCTTAGGTGGAGACCTTGGCATGGATAACGTCCTGTTGGTGCTGCTACAATGGAAGGTCTGGACATCGAGATGCATTTGGGAAACAAAGAGTCGCACGAGTAACGGAGGGACCTTGCGTGAATAAGTTAGTAACCCCTCCATCTGTTTTTCAGGAGTATCATCAAGGGGTTCACTTGGCACTAGTTCATCCAGTGTTTACTTTCCAAGCTCATTTTTATAACAAGTGGTCTCCTATTATTCTCTCCGTGTTGGTTGATACAGGTTTGAGTTTATTTTCTATTGCTCGACCTGTTGTCATACGTTGTTGTCTACACTTGTATCGTGCGGTGGAGCCAGTTTTCATTCTTTATGGCAACGGCTGTACATATGCATGTGCATGGGATGAGGTAAACTTTGTTGTGTGTGTGGGCAATCTCGAGCTTGGGTTGTAATAATTGTGGGTGGAGCTTTTGACCTCATCCTTGGTATGGATTGGTTACAACGCAATCATATTAAGTGTGACTTTGAAGCTTTTCCCCCTTGTTTCATACTTTCTTATATTTCATTTATTCCTTTCACTTCTGTACTTTTTCATCCCTTTGCTTCTACCTTTGCTTCCACTACTTTTATCCCCCCATTACTTTCTCCTATGTTTTTGTCTTGTTTTGTTTTTCCTTTTTCTGATCCCTCCGACAATCTTTATGTTGTAACAGTTGACTGGTTCATGAAGGAGTATTTTGATCTTTTTGAATTTGACCTATCATCTGAGGCCAGGATTGCTATATGTCATCCAATTCCAATTGGGGATGCTCGTGCAATCAAGGTTCCTGTTTGTCATTAGTCACCCAAAGATATCAAGATTTTACGTGCAAACGTCAAAGAGATGTTGAAAAAGGGTGTTATTCAAAAGTCACGGAGTCTTTGGGCATGTGAACTTTATCTTGTGACAAAGCTTAATGAGAGTATTTGTTTTTGCATCAACTATCGTCCATTAAATGAAGTGACAATTTTGGATGTGTACCCTCTTCCTCACACTACTGATATCTTAGATCATCTAGGGTGAAGTCGTTGGTTCACCAAGTTAGATTTTGTTTCTAGATACTAGCAAATACTAATGGCCGAAGAAGATATTCCTAATACTAATTTTCATACACCATTTGGTTTGTACGAGTTCTTGGTAATACCGTTTAGTTTGAATATCGCTTCAGCAACTTTTCAGCAGATGATGGACGAAGTTCTTTGCGATATGCCAGAGGTGACTGTTGACTTTATTAATGATGTCTTGATCCACTTGAAGGGGACGTGGGAGGAGCACGTTCATGATATTTGTAAAGTGTTGGATCGGCTATGGGATGTTGGTTTAAAGTTAAAGCAGTCGAAGTGCGTGTTTGGGTCCAAGGACACAATTTATCTTGTGTACCGTATTTCTCGTGAGGGTTTGCAAGTTGATCCTGACAAACTTGTGGCTGTTCTAAAGTTCCCTACTCTGAAGTGTGTGAATGATGTGTAGTGCTTCTTGGGCAAGGTGCAGTATCTCGACCATCTTGTGGATCATCTTTCTGATTGCACTACACCGTTGTGAGCGTTGCTGAAGTTATTAATGTCATCTTTCATTTGGTCTCCGGATTGTGAGTGGGCGTTCGTGGACCTCAAAGTGCTATTGACGACTCCTCTAGTTTTGATATATCCTAACTACACTCGACCTTTTTATTTTACGCGTGGATGCTTTTAATATTAGTCTTGGAGGTGTGTTGATGCAAGAGAGCTCGAGTGTGTTTGGTCAGCACTATCCCATTGCATATATAAGCCGTACATTATAACTAGCGGTGGTGAACTACTCCATGATAAAGAAGGAGTGTTTAGCAATAGTCTGGGGTTTCGAGAAACTTTATGCATATCTACATGGTTCTCGGACGTTACTTGAAGGTGATCATGCTGCTGTTACTTCATTATTCAAACAAACTTGGTTAGTCGTACTACTTGGTGGGCTTTGAAGCTTCAGATATATAATTTTGATGTTGTTCATTGCCTAGAGAGTTTTATAACTGATGCTAATACCCTTTTTTGAGCTCCTCTTCCTTCTCCACTCTTTTGCTAGTGCCTTTGTAACTACTGTTAGATACTTCCTCCTCAATTGAGTGGTGTTCTAGCATTCTTGTTCAAAGTGGATTCTTTCGAATAATGGTCATGCATTTATGGCTGAGGCATTTCATATTTTGACATCTTGGTTGGGGATATGCCACACTTTCACAAGTGCCTATCATCCACAATCAGACGATTTGGTGGAATGGCTCGTTCGGACATTCAAAAAAATGATCATGAAGTACTAAACTTTTAGCATTCGGATTGGGATATAGTTATTTGCCATCTTTTCAGCATGCATATATCATAGGGTGCAGAGTTCTATTGGTGCTTCACCATATAAACTTCTTTATGGTCATGATTCAATATTACCAACGAAGCTGGGTTTACCTTCGCAATTGCCATGAGTTGCCGATGCTAGGTCATAAGATCAGTATTTGATGAGCATTGTTCCACTTGTCTAAGCCTAATCT